GAACCTTGGTGGAAGGAAATTATGCCATGGGTGGCGTACCTTGAGGAAGATTTGGAGCCTTCAGCTCCTAGTCTTCCTGACTTTGCTTCCCAGTCACCATGAGGTAAGCCTGTCACTTCATCATGTACTCTACAACAGGAGGCACTGCCTCATCAAAGGTCCCAAAGCAATGGAACCAACCAAACATGTACTGGAACCTTCAAACCTGTGAGCCAAAACAAACCTCTTCTCTTTTTACTTCACATCTCAAGGCATTTATTGTAGGAACAAAAGTCAATTAACACACAGCCCAGTGCCTGGTACTGAACAAATACAGTAACTATAAACTGTATCTGTTTTCACTGCAAATAAAGGGAAAGTTCCGGAGGATGGGATTCTCAAGGGACGGAGTGGGGATCATATAATGAGCTCATTAACATGACTTCCCTCATCACAGACTTTAAGGAAGAAAGTGGTGGCTTACAGAGGTGAGGCTAGAAGCAGGACATGAAATAATGTAGTATGTGGTTTGAGCATATGCTACCTGAATACTGTTCTATACGCATTTTCTATTCTATATGCAGGTGGACCAATCCCAGAGCCTGGGGAATGCCCTGACATAGATGGCTTCTCCAGCTCTACAAATCCGTTAAACATGCTCTAGAGTGCAACTGAGTGCTTCATTCAACTTCCTAGCAACTCACTGACAAAATTCAGGTGTGATTCTTTCCCTCCAGCCAACATCTTCCACTTCCCCTCGTCCAATGACACCCTTTATGGCTGACTACACCAGCTCATAACTCCTAGTCAGCAAACCCAGAAAGTGACTTCTACATTTCCAGAAACTGTTGTCAACAGGAGCTCTGAGCTACTTCTCTCAACTCACTCAGAACTATTTTCCAATAAAATATTTGAGAGATACTATAATTTACTCGTATTATATTCACTTGGGCATTCAATTAAGTTGTCAGGCATGGGAGGTACCACACCACTCAACTTTGGAAAACCACAGAAGCTAAGGCATAGCTTTCACTTCTTTAAGTATGTGTTCCTTCTGTGGTAAGGAAAATTATATTTTGTCCTGATAATGTGGCTTTTGAGGATTAGGGCTGGGGGACTAGAGGAGAGAGCTCTGATCTGTGGCAATTGTCCATTTCCAAAGTATAAATGGACCTTGGTGATATCAAGTTAATATCATGGAACTATTGAATAAGATAGCACTAGCAGCCTTAGCATACCTAATATTGTGTATGTGTGTGCGAGCACACGTGCACGTGTGTGCATGCACGCGCGCGCGCGCGCGCACACACACACACACACACACACACACACACATACACAGAGTACTGCAGAGTTACCAGAACTAAAACACTACTGTTCAGTAAGATGACATATAACACAGTACCTGCCTCAAAAAAATGCCTGTTCCCCTCTCCGGCTTCTAATCACCATCCAGAGTTCCTTTAACTTGTTGTTTATCTTGAGTTTTGTTTAGTGTGTGTGTGTGTGTGTGTGTGTGTGTGTTTATTTATTTAGGGGGGTGGGGGTCAAGACAGGGTCTCACTATGTAGTCCAGGCTGGCCTTGAACTTACAGAGATCTGCCTGCCTCTGCCTCCAAAGTGCTGGGATTCAAGGCATAAGCTACCATGCCTAGCTTGAGTTCCTTTAACTTGTATCACCAACATTTCCTTGAAGCTGGGCGAGTTGATCATGGATCTGTCACACAAAATTGTAAGCTCCTCCAGGAAGGAGATCACATTTCTGTCATCTCTACAATATACCCATTACTTAGCATAATGCCTTCCAGGTGCCAGGTGCCCTAATTTTTTTTTAAACCTTCATTAGTTCATGTGCTGACTTTTGCTAGAGTCTGGATTAGTTAAAGAACTAAAACAACAACAACAAAAACTCTAGGAATAGTTTAACCAATAATGTGAACAGTCTGAACACTAAACACCAAAAAAACATTTGTGAAAGAGCTCCAGAAGCCATTAGTAAATGGGAAAATATTCTGTGTTCACGAACTGGAATACATACTGATAAAATGTCTGTACCACCCCAAGTAATCTACACATTCAATATAATCCTCACCAAAATCCCAATAACATTTTCACAGAAGTAGAAAAAGCAATGCTAAAATTCATACCTAGCCACAGAAACCTCCAAAAAGCTAAAGCAATTCTGAGGAAAAAGATCAAAGCCAGAGGCATTACATTATCTGATTTCAACATCTACTTCAAAGCTGTCCGGACAAAACCAGAATAATACTAGGGTGAAAAAGACATATATTGCTGGAATACAAGGCCCAGAAGGCATCATGGCACATACCTATAATCCCAGGACTTGGCAGTCCAAATCAGAAAAATCTAGAGTTTAAGGCAAGCCTGGGCTTCATAGTATACACAGTGAGAACCTGTCTCAGAAACAAACAAAACCAAAAGCAGGCCAAAAAGAGACTAGAGTTCTCAGAAGCAAAGCCACACAGCCGTGGCTAATGGGTCTGTGACAAAGAACAAACAATGGGGCAGGAGTCCCTTCAGCTAATGGTGCCGGGAGATCCAGAGCGTGACACACATATTATCAGATGCTGACCTCACACTAAATACAAGAGCAACTGAAACTGGGGTAAGGACTCCAAGCCTGGGACCTGAAACTGCAAAGCCCACTGGAGGAAGCGTGGGGGGGGGGGAGTGCGGTCATCACGCGGTTTGAACGACGGTGTATTTACGTACAGGCCTAACAGCACCAGCAACAAAGCAAAACAGAATGGAAGGAACTCCATGCCAGCCACACAGCTACTAACGCATTGATATCCAAAAGGCGCTCAGATAATCTCACACTTTTTTTTTTAATCTCTTCACTCTGGCGATTGTTTTGTTTGTTGAACAGAAGCCTTTTAGTTTAATGTTTTTGCTTTGTTATCAATTTTGTTAGACTCACATAAAAAGAAATTGAGAGAACGGCTGCTTGTGTAACCCAGGCTGGTCTCGAATTCTCAATCTTTCTGTCTGAGACTCTGAAAGGCTGGAATTAGAGTGGTCCACTGGTACCCCGGCTCCAAACAACTTGACGGTGAGAAGACAAACGGGCCAGGGAGATGGCTCAGCGGGCAAAGACGGATCACGCAGAGTTAGTGGTCTGAGTCGGACGGTTGGAACTCATATAGAGGGAGGGGAGAACCAACCCACATGCATGCAGAGGCTCTTGTGCCCCCTCTACATCTCTCACACACAATAATAATAAGAAGAATAATAATAAAATGCCTTAAAAAAGACAATGTGTCTTAAATATGAGCAAATGATCTAAATATATAAATATAAATCCCTTAAAAGGCATACAGGTAGCCAAAAAGTACATAAAAGTGGTCAGTTGGCATTACTAACCACCAAGAAAATGCAAATTAAAACCAACTGTTTCCATCGTAAAGAGATAAATATTGATAAGGACATGGATTAAGGGAAGCCTACCACTGCTGAGGTGAATGTGAACTTGTAGCCATTATGTAAACAGTATATGAAGGTTCCTCAGACAATTAAAATGGAACCAACGTAGTCCAGGACTACCACAAGGATTTCCCCAAAACAAATGAAACTGGTATGTTAAAGAGAACACTCCTAGCTCTCTCTCTCTCTCTCTCTCTCTCTCTCTCTCTCTCTCTCTCTCTCTCTCTCTCTCTCTCTCTCTCTCTCTCCCTCCTTTGTCTCCCCTATCATTGTGCCACCATGGAGGAATCTAGAGGACATAGAGGACAGTTTTGCATTTATGGACATGGAAGTTGCAGTTGGGGAAAGCAGACCGATATGCCCAGGGTGTAAGTGGAGGAACTGGAGTGACAGGATCCAGTCCTGTGTCTGTCCCAGCTTGTCCCCTATACCCACAGGTGGCCAAGAAAAGAATGCTCGGAACAGACAAGTCACGTGTCATTCCGCAGTCCTTACCAGGATTCAGAGTGCTAACTGCGCAGCTCGGCCCACAAATGTTCCAAGCAGCCTTGGTTTCCCCATGGAAAACAGATGATGAGAAGGTTGGCCAGCACTTACAATCCTTCCCCCCGTGGCACACACACAGTGCATGGCAGCAGATTGCCATCCCGGGAAGCTCTGTGGCAGAAAAACCTGCTTCCCTTCTAGGGCTGTCAACTAGCAAACTGTGTGGCACTCTGAGGCACCAGGATGGAGAGACATCATGGAGGAATGAGGCCGACTGCGGGTAAAGACACCAGGGAATGAGGCCGGCTGCAGGAGCTTTTTGAAACAAAGTGTAAGATTTTATTTTCCTTAAGAACTGCTGAGTCCCCTCCTTTATGTTTAGGTTGCTTTCTCTTGGGAAAATGAGCACTGAAAACAAACATCAGTCAAAAGCAACAGGCAGTAAGTCAGAGGGAGGGGCACCTCTGCATTCCCGTGTCTGAGCTGGTGCTACACCTGCTGACCTCATCCAACCGCATTTCCCTCTCCACCCTGTGGTCCCGGGGCTGTTCTCCGACTCTGCATGACTGGCCACACAGCATGCCACACACAGCTGGCCCCCACAGGTCTCCTACTCCTTGCAGAAGGGGAGACACAGGTGTTAGAACTCTGTGGGACCGGCATTGCTCAAGCCCACAGATTTCACAGAAATACAAGTATTTGCCTGAGGCAAGGCTCCTCCTGCCTTTGGGTTAGGCAGGAGTCCTCCAAAGACACTCCCACCAAAGCGAGAATGACACTGAATTGCCTTTAAGTTTTCCAGGTTACTGTTGGAGATTTTCTATTTCTCCTTTTGCGTATTTTCAGTTTCTCATTGGCAGTAGTTATCTTAAAAAAAGGAAAAGAAGGCTGAAGAAGAGGAGAGGAAGAGGAAAAGAGGAAGGGGAGGATGAGGAAAAAGAAGAAACACTTGCAAAAAGCCTACATAAGTTAGCCTAATAAAACAAAAAGAAGCTCCCCACCTGCTCTGAAATGGAGGATTCCCACTGGCAGGAAGGCTTGCCAGGTGGCCCCCTAGCCACCCAGGCCAGGCACAGCACCCCAGTCCTTACCCACTCGGAAGATCAGGTCGTCCTCGATGGGGTTCTCTTTTCGCTTGCCGGTGCTGTACATGCTGGCGGGTCTCTTCACAGCCTTCTGCTTGACGTGACCGCTCCCGGGGGACTTGACTCGTCGCTTCACGCCCTCGGTGGTGGGGGACACATCGGCAGAGCGGATGACCTTGAGTTTAAACGGACTGCCTCGGATGTGCTGGTCGTAGAGCCTGAGGGACAAGGTGAAGTCCCCCTCCTTCTGCACGGTGTACAGGAACTCGTAGGTGCCGTTCTTGTTGTCCAGGATCTCTCCGTCTGCCACGCTGCCGTCGGGGGTGCTGAGCTCGGCGGTGAGGTACGCGTTGCCTGTCTTGCAGAGCTCTCCGTCTTTGTCCTTGGTGGTGATGGTCACGGACATGGGCTGGCCGATGATGGTCTGCCGAAGCCCCTCGCCCGTGGCCACCGTCTCCGAGGCGACAGCGTTAGTGGTGAGGATGGTCCCCAGGTTGTGGATGGACTTCTTCAGTCCCTCGGTTTCCACGATGAAATCCAGCTGATCATTCTCGCGCGGGTGCAGTGGGAAGTCTTGGTCCGCCAGTTCGTTCAGTTTCTCGCTCATCTGCTTCTTCACCAGCAGCACCTCCGTCTCCGTGCCATGGTTGAGAGCCTGCGCAGTGAAGCTGCTGCAGCTCTTAATGCTTTCCTGGCCTTGGAGCAGGGTATCCAGCTGCGACTGCAGCACCTGCCAGGTACAAAGAAGCGATGAGCACTTCCTACAGGACACTGTGCAGCCTCCGGGACACTTGCCAGGAGCTGGGGCAGAGCCCTCCGCCCAAAAGAATCAGCTTCTATACCCGCCCACTCAGGTGCCTCCAAACCAGCTGCATTCCATTTAACCCAGTGAACCCATGCAGAATGCTAAGTTGCATTACCAGGGCCTTCTGGACATTTCCCTTCCGCCTCACCCCGCCTCATCACCCCCTCGAGCATTTCTTGGGTCATCTGTTTACATGGGACAAAGCAGAAAGGGCGCTACCAACAGTGTGGCAACCAAATTTGTCTGTTCGATGTGAAAAAGTCATTACTCCCTGGCTTTCCCTAACATTCGGAGCTGCCTGGTCACCACCTCACGGAGGAACAAAACCCAACCATTTGAGAAGTCTCCACATCTGAATACCAGAAGCTCTCCTCCCTGGCTTGGTGAACAGACTTGCAGAGCCAAACAAAGGCTGCAGTCAGGATTCACTTTAAGTTGAGGAACAGGTTAGTGTGGGTGAGAGCAGTTAAGAGGCTCTCCCACATTATAATTAAGGGAGGAAAACATTCCAGGCAACTCTAAAACCTGAAAACATTATGATTTGCAACCTCTCCTTGTTTCAAACTATAAATTGTTACAAAAGGCCACAGAATCCCGGTTTTGCCAGGGAAAAATGGAGGGGGGCAGCTGGGGAGGGTCCTGTTAAATTAAAACAGGAGTTCAGTGTTCAATGGTGACATTTAAGGACCTATGTAGGCCCTGCCGCCACGGCTGCTGTTAGAACACAGTAAGCCAGCGCTATGAATGGAGTGGCCCCGGTGTCCCTTCTCACAGGAAACCTGTGGGACAGCAGAGTCTTACTTTGTGTTTGAGGCCGTAGTTGACCTCGAGCTCCATGAGCAGCACGCTCTTGCGAACATTTAAAGTCTTCTGCAGCTCATCAAAGGTGGAGTGGATGTCATCTACGATGCTGGCCTTTTGGTTAGTTAACTGATGGATGATTTCTGAGATGAACTGAAGAGCAGAATCTATTTCTGGGAGTCTGAGAGGCAGGAGAGTCGTTAACGATCATTAACATCCACCCAGAAACATTCCAAAGTCTACCTACACTTTCCTTCTTCTCTAAAAGCAACATGCCCTTTTCTATGCCACTTCTCACTGATGTGGACAGCCTTCTGTACGCTGCCAATATGTGTTGCTTTTATTGGTTGATGAATAAAGCTGTTTTGACCAATGGCCAGGCAGGATGGAGCCAGGTGGGAAATCCAAACAAAGATGGGGAGAGAAAGAAGGTGGAGCCAGGGAGACGCCGTATAGCCACATCTGGTAAATTGTAGAATGGTAAATTATATAATAACAGAAATGAGCCGGGCGTTGGTGGTGCACGCCTTTAATCCCAGCACTCGGGAGGCAGACAGGCAGATCTCTGTGAGTTCGAGGCCAGCCTGGTCTACAGAGCAAGTTCCAGGACAGCCTCCAAAGCCACAGAGAAACCCTGTCTGGAAAAACCAAAAAAAAAAAAAAAAAAAAAAACAGAAATGGGTTGATTTAATTATGAGAGCGAGCCATTGGCCAAACAATTATAACTAATATGAAGCCTCAGAGTGATTGTTTTATAAGCGGCTCTGGGACCAGGCAGAACGCATGAGTTTCCATCTTTAAGAAGCAATAGAATGAATGAGACTTGAGACTCACATCTCTTCCAGTCTACCTTCAGCCTCTATGTTGATTATTGATGGGGTGATAATCCTTGTAGTAGAAGACTGCCTTGTGCATATGGGATGTTTAGCCGTGTCCTCTCCTCTACCCAATGCCAACAGCATATCGCCACCCCAGCACTGGTAGGACACCAAAATGCCTTTAGGCATTGTCAAGTGTTGGGAGGGGGTCGTCAGAACTGCCTGTGGTAGAGAACCGCTATATTCTAAATGTCTAGCTTTATCATCCCCTACCCCCGGTCACATAAACTTGCTGAACTCAGTATCTGGAGAACTTCTTGTAAGTTGCCAGGCTCCTTTAAGTAACATTGAAAGACTACACTTTGCTCACTAGGATGGTTGACTATAAGTAGGACTATTTTGTCTGTCTTTCAACTGGTTGCTAAGGTCGTCTTTTCTGTCTGTCTCTCTCACACAGGACACAGGACACAGGACACAGGACACAGGCACTACTTTCATTTGCGTCCGTGCCAATGGAAAACCAGAAAACAACCACGCTAGGAAAACTGGGCGATCACTGCTCAGCACCACTGTACGGGGCTCAGCGGAGCAGAGCCACCCCAGCCACCGCCACTGCTGGAAGCAGGCCAACAGGACAGTCTCAGGTCTGATTTCAGACAGGAAATCCAGAGCTCTCATGATGAAGAAGAATGCAGGTCAAAGAATGATGTACCCAGGCTAGCACGACCCTACCGTCTCAGACACTAGTCAGGCCCTACTGTCTGAGACACTAGACGTCAGGCCTCACAGGGGTGGGGGAGTCTGGAGGGGCGTGGCACCTTTTGTTGGCTGCATCCAGCTGGACCTGGAGGGAGGCCTTGTGCTGCTCCACCACGTCCTTCAGTGGCACCGTGGGGTGCTCCGCATGCTCGCCCTCCGTGCACTCCCGACACATGGCCGTCTCACAGGACTGGCAGTAAAATTCCATCACCTGTGCGTAACACAGAGAGCTTACTCTTCAGGAAGCAGATACACATTCTCCCGCTTCATCCTCAGTCACTAAAACCGTTGGCATTATAGTGCCCAAGCTTTGACGGACCCCAAACAGAGCTGCACCCGACTCCAAAGCCACTGCTGGGGCTAGAACCTCTCTAAGCTCTTTATAAAGGAAGTACTAGGACTTCAAAAGAGCTTTTGAGCCAGAAATTTTAAGGAGGAACTGAACGAAAATATCCCAACACTGGAAAGTATATCAACTAAAATATAAAATTCACTGGAGTAGTTTGCCAGACAACATGAGCAGGAAACAGGAGAAGAAAAATCAGTAAAGATGAAATTAGATTATTCCAGCACAAGGGGCAGAAATAAAAAAGAACAAAGAAAAAGTAACACAACCTAGAAACCTCAGAAGAGGGCCAGGTGTTGGTGGCTCACGCCTTTAATCCCAGCACTCGGGAGGCAGAGACAGGTGGATCTCAGTGAGTTCAAGGACAGCCTGGTCTACAGAGTGAGTTCCAGGACAGCCTCCAAAACAATACAGAGAAACCCTGTCTCAAAAAACAAAACAAAACAAAAAAAAAAAAAAGAAAGAAAGAAAGAAAGAAACCTCAGAAGAAAGGAAAAAAGAGAAAGAGATAATATTTGAGGGTCAGTAAGATGGTTTAGTGGCTCTACTTATAGTCAAGCCTCATGATCTGCGTTTCATCCCTAGAACTTACATGGTAAAAGTAGAACCAACCCTACAATGCTGTCCTATAACCTCCACCCCCAAGAGCTCTCTCTCTCTCTCTCTCTCTCTCTCTCTCTCTCTCTCTCTCTCTCTCTCTCTCTCTCTCTCTCTCTCTCTCACACACACACACACACACACACACTGAAAATTGCAAGATTAAATCTTTAAAAAGCAAGAACAACAATGAAAAGGTTTGGGGACATAGCTCAATGATAGAGCACTTACCCACAATGCACAAGGTGCTGGATCCAACCCCACATCAAATAAATAAATAACATACAAAGGAACAAGTTGAATGTTTAACATAAAGGAGTAGAAAAAGAAATGTTCTGTAAACTACAACCAAAAAGGACCTGGGTAACTAATTTAGCATCAGACATAACAGACTCAGGCAAATGCTACTGTCACAGAGAAAAGTGTAACAAAAAGGAAATTATATAAATCGAAGGAAAAACCTTTATTTAGATTGGCCAAATTACTAAAATCAGGAGGGAAAGTAGGTAGATTTTGTTACTGACATCTTGGAAACATAAAGAATTATGATGAGTTATAATGACACTATGGATAGTTGTATGCCAGCAGGTTGGATAGTCTAGCTGGCATGAATGGATTCCTAGAAACACCGAACCTACCAAAACAGATGCAAGTCTGAATAGAGTTATAGTCAGAAAACTACCAGCAAGGGAAGGCCTAGGACCCAATGCTTCACTGGTAGAATCTACCAAGCATTTTGTATACATTATTTCATGGTACTGAATGGATGGCTCCACTGTTAAAAGCACTGGCTGCTCTTCCAGAAGACCTGGGTTAAATTCCCAGCACATATATGGAAGCTCACAACTGTCTATAACGCCAGTCCCAAGGGATCTACACCCTTCCACAGACATACATGCAGGCAAAACACCAATGCACATAAAATAAAAATAATAAATTATTAGAAAAATTATTCCAATCTTTCCCAAATATTTCTAAAAAGTATAAGAGGAACAGATTGTGGTGGTGCACACCTTTAATCCCAACAAGTGGGAGGCAGAGGCAGGTGGATCATTGTGAGTGTAAGGCTTGCCTGGTCTACACAGTAAGCAGTACAGTTCTAGGACAAGGTAACATAGTGAGACCCTGCCTCCAAAACAATAAAAATAAGTGTGTGTGTGCGCGCGCACGTGTGTGTGTGTGTGTGTGTGTGTGTGTGTGTGTGTGTGTGTGTGTGTAGCATTTCCTAATTCACTGGGCCAAGGGCATTGCAAAACAATGACAGACTGATGTTCCTTGTTAATTTGGGTGGAGAAATCCTGTGTAATATACTAGCAAAACTAACCCAGTCCCACATGAGAAGATTGGTAGGATTTATACCAAGATTGCAGGGAAAATCACATATGAAAACCTTGACCTGGACCCGTGACATTACCAGGCTGAAATGGCTGTTTACAGGTGTGGAGTTACTTTTAGGGGATGATGAAAACATTCTGGAACCAGATAGTAGTGATATTTGCACAATTTTATAAATATAAAGCCCACTAACTTTTAAACTGTATACTGTTGGAATATTGAATTTGATGTTATGTGATTTTTTTTACCTTAAAAAGAAAAGAAGAGAAAAGGAAAGAAAGAAATAGCCCTGACTGCCCCTTTGAGTGGACAGCAGCAAGTGTCCACTGTCTGCGGTTCAATATCCCAAGTGTATCCTGGGAGAAAGAACTTGGAAGCATTTTGAAGTGCCAAAAGCCAGAGGCTCTCAAATGCTCATTCTAGGCTTTTACAGCCGAGGCTCGTTGATCTCGGCACTAATTGATGGGTGACTATGTGCCCCTCAGCTAAGCTCATTCATCTCCAGAGGGATGATGCCACTGTCCCCAGGGGTGGGAGGGCAGCCAGAGGCTAGGGTGAGCTTATGGCTGTTGACAGGTGGTCACCGCCCGTGCCCATCAGCAGCCGAGCTGGCAGGACCACGTGCATTCCTAGGGGGAACGGATGCTCCAGGCCTGTGGCCAATCTGGAGGTCTTTGTGGGGATCCTGACAGTTGATGGGGGAGGGGAGGATGCCCTAGTTAACACCCCCTTCCTGTCAACATCCTTGTTAGCTGTTGGATGGAGCCTCACTGAACACTGACAGGGTTCCTTGGCCATTTGTCTACCTAGGATCACAAGGCATGAGCTTAGGAGTTGGCTCTGAGAGCAAAGAGTCTCTTAGATCACTGGCTGTCATTCTGTTTTCTTCAGCACTTGGCAGTGCTGTCCCAGCAGCTTAATGAGCAGAGCACGCCCAGCGTTTCAGCACGTGACAGGCTTTCATCCGCTGGTGCTAATCAGCATGGCAGCGCCTTGCTTTGCTGTTAATCACCTGATTTTATTAATCTTTCATATGCTCTACCGGTTTTTAAAGATGTACCCACGGCAGTTAACTGCAGCAGTTTATCTGGGATACTGAGTTTGGCTTGCATACGCAAGGAGCATTCCCGTATCAGAGAACCATGGCCCTTAGCATCTACAGTGTCTGACCAACTGACTTCACTTTTCGGAAGAGCAATGTACGCTTTTCTCCACGAGACCAGAGGTCAGAGGACAAACCGTGGAGCTGCTCCCTCCTTCCACCTTACGTGGGTACAGAGTCTGAACTCAGGTCATAGGCCTGTGCAGCAAGCACCTGTGACCCTGTGAAGCCTAACATCCAGAATGTGATTTTTTTTTTTTGGTCGTTTATACCTTCCCTGTGGATTTTCTAAGTACTTTGCTCACTTTTGAGATAATCATATTTTCCTTGTCAGTGTTCTTTCATATAAAGTCATTTTAATTAAGATTTTTATGGCTAGTATTATAAGTTAAATTATTAATAGCATCCATTTTTCTGTCTTCCCTAGGTTTTTGGTATCAGGAATGTAAATTCGCCACAAATTAGCTGTGCAGCTCCCTATCTTCCACTATTCAGGAGTATACTAAGAATCACATTTCATAATTTATTGTGTTGTTTCTTAGCTTTTTGAATTTGTGTGTGTGTTTGTTTTTGAGATAGGGTCTCATTATGTAGGCCAGGCTGGTTTTGAGCTCACACTAATTTTCCTGCCGCACACCTGGCTTCCAACTTCCTGAATTGCATTCTTTTCAAATAAAAGAAAATATTTACTTACCTATAAAAATCTCTTTTAAAAAATATATGGAGTTATTTACCCCAAACATGAGATAGTAAAAGTATTTATTTCTACGGGTTTTGTTGTTGTTGTTGTTTATTTATGTGCATTGGTGTTTTGCCTGCATGAGTGTGCCATGTGCCCTGAAACTGGATTACAGACATCTGTGAGCTGTCACGTGGATGCTGGGAACTGAACCTGGGTCCCCTGGAAGAGCAGCTGGTACTCTTAATCACTGAGTCATCTCTCCAGCCCCCATTTCTGTGATTTATACAGTCCCATTTTACCCTTACTTTATGTATTAAATAGTTGTGAGCCTCAAAAAGACATTTTGTGTTTATTTTTCCAGGAACAATTGCCAATTTAATTTTAGTGCACTGTACAGGACCTAAATACACTGGCATTTTGTTGTGTCCAGTTATACGATCAATTTCAATGGTTCAAGTTCTCCTAATCTTAGCTTCTCTCAACATATTGCCTTCTTAAAACATGCAGATTTTTCTTAGAAGAGAAAGTGGGAGGTACCCTTTAACAAATTGGTACAGGAGACTGCTTCCTGAACATAACACCAGTAGTACACTGAGATTGACAATTAATAAATGGGACCTCCTGAAAGTGAGTAGCTTCTGTAAGGAAAGGACACAGTCAACAATACAAAACAGCAGCCCACAGAATGGGAAAAGATCTTCACCAACCCCACATCTGACAGAGGGCTAATCTCCAAAATATACAAAGAACTCAAGAAACAAGTCTCCAAAACACCAAACAATCCAATTAAAAAGTGGGGTACAGAACTAAATAGAGAATTCTCAATAGAGGAATCTAAAATGGCTGAAAGACACTTAAGAAAGTGCTGAACATCCTTAGCAACGGGGGAAATGCAACTCAAAACAACTCTGAGATACCATCTTACTCCTGTCAGAATGGCTAAAATCAAAACACCAGTTTATGTTGGAGAGGATGTGGAGAAAGGGGAACAGTCTCCTCCACTGCTGGTGGGAGTGCCAACTGGTTCAGCCACTTTGGAAATAAGTATGGCAGTTCTTCAGGAAAATGAGAATCAGTCTACCACAAGATCCAGCAATCAGGCATACACACAAAAGATGCACATTCATACAACAAGGACATCTATTCAGCTGTGTTTATACCAGCATTATTTGTAATACCCAGAACCTGGAAGCAGCCTCAACTAAAGAATGGATAAAAAAAAATGTGGTACATTTACACAATGGGGGGGGGGGGCGCGGAAATTGGAATCTTGAAATTCACAGGCAAGTGGATGGAACTAGAAGAAATCATCCTGAGTGAGGAAGCCCAGTCACAAAAAGACAAACATGATATGTACTCACTCATATATAGATTTTAGACATAGAGCAAAGGATTACCAGACTACAATCCATACTGCTAGAGAAGTTGGGAACCTTAAGAGAGACATACACGAGTCCCCGCCCCCAAGAAGGGGAAAGGGACAAGATCTGAGCAAATTGGGAGCATGGGGGCAGGAGAGAGGGGGTTAGGAAAAAGAGAAGGGGAGAAGAGGGTGGGAGATGAGGACATAGGGAGTAGGAAGATTGAGTCAGGAAGAATAGAGGAGAGCAAGAAAAGAGATACCATAATAGAGGGAGTCTGGCACTCCGGAAATGTCCAGAGATCTACAAGGATGACCCCAACTAATAATCTAAACAATAGTGGAGAGGCTATCTTAAATGCCCTTCCCTGATAATGAGATTGATGACTTCCTTATATGCCATCCTAGAGCCTTCGTCTAGTAGCTGATGGAAGCAGAAGCAGACACCCACAGCTAAACACTGAGCTGAACTCCTGGAATCCAGTTGCAGAGAGGGAGGAGTGACCAACAAAGGGGTCAAGACCAGGTTGGAGAAACCCACAGAAACAGCTGACCTGAACAAGGGGGAGCTCATGGACCCCAGACTGACAGCTGGGAAACCAGCATAGGACCGACCCAGATTCCCTTATCGTGGATGTCAGTTAGGAGGCCTGGGCATTCTATGGGGCCTCTGGCAGTGGATCAGTATTTATCCCTTGAGTATGAATGGACTTTGGGAGCCCACTCCACACAGAGGGATACTCTCTCAGCCTAGACACCAAGCCTAGGCCCTCCCCCAAATGATATGACAGTCTTTGAAGGTTTCCCCCAAGGAAGGCCTCACCCTTCCTGGGGAGCAGAAACAGGATAGGTTAGGGGGTTGGTGGGTGGCAGGGAAGGAGGGGAGGGAGAGGGAGCTGGGATTGACATGTAAAACAAGCTTGTTTCTAATGTAAATTTTTTTTAAAAAGGTTTTTATGTGAGGGAGGCAGATTCTCCCATGAGGGTCTTCTTTCCTCTGAGACACATCTGCCCTGGTGATCCTCTCTAGCCTGGCCACTGACCAACATCAGCTGGACGTCTCAGTCTCCCCGCTCTACCCACCACTCAGACCGTAAACTGCTCACTCTTATTTTGAAGGTTTAATGTTGCATGTTGCTTTTGGAATTTAGGTCAAGTACTTTCTCGATGCTATCACAGGGTGTCACATTCTCTCCTGAGCTACTTTTCTGGTTCTCCCTACAAAGTGTCCTGCCCACCCGTATTCTGGCCCCACCTCCAGACGTCATGCTCTAGGGGCCCCGGCTGCCTGCCACAGAGCACCACCTCACCTTTACATTGTTTACCCCGGTATCTCCCCAAGTGCCTCTCCTTTCACACTCTCCACTGGTTCAAACACAGGCTGGTGCCTCTTGTTTCTAGGACTTCCTTCCCTATCAAGCAGGGTCTGCAGGGAGTCCCACGGCTGAACTAAACTTTATGGGAATTTGTTCCTAACAGAAATGTTCTCTTAGACGTAGCACTTAGGATGGAGTCCAGGCAGAGAGCCTCGGTGTTTTCTCTAAGTCAATAAGAAAAGGGGTCAGAAAAATACCAACCAACCTGCTTTGGGAGGAGCCTTTTCAGCTTGTTTTGGTGAAGTCTACACTATGGTGTCCCTTGGATTATGCTGTATATGTCATTCTTTGGTGTTATTACTAGCTTGGTGTACTTTTCTCTTAAACAGTTTCTGATGTGCAAGGCACCGTGTCTTCTGGTGTTTGAAGCAATCGGAAACTCACGATGCTGTTGATTCTAGGTCTAGCTTCCGCCACGTGTCAGTCACACTGGGGCTTAACCTGTTCAAGCCTGAGGATTTCCGTCTGTGGGTAAGGGTCCCTTCCACCTGCCTTGCAGGCTGCGTTGAGAAGCCAAGTGTGGGCATCTGGAAAATCTGTGCAACGATCTGCTAACGATGCAATTCCCAGTCTCTGCCCACTTGAGCCTCTTCTAGAGGGAGAGCTAGAAGACCAATGATCAAACAGCCCACGGATGGCATTATTAATGCCAAGGGGCAGGACAGGAAGTAAAAATGCTATTATCAAGAAGTAACTGGACATGACAGCACGTGCTTTTATTTCCAGTACTCAAGAGGCAGAGGCAGGCATATCTCCATGAATTCAAGGTCAGTCTGGCCTACATAGGCAGTTCTAGACCAGTAAGGAGTACATAGTGAGACCCTGTCTCAAAAAAAAGGGAGGGGGGGGGGTGGCTTGCGTCAGAGAGCATAGCTAGAGAGAGCTGTTCTGGGAAGGTTAAGGACAAACAAGCCACAGGAGAGAAGGCATGGAGCACTGCAGGAAGAAGGAATGGGACAGTCACCTGAAGGCAGAAACCCCACTGAGGGGTTTAAGGAGGCCAGGCCGGCTGAAGCCAAGCAGGCAGAGTGCAGCGTCATGTGCAGTCAATGATTGACAGAGACTGCTTGGCGCTAACAACCACTTGCTTTCCTGGTGGTTTATAATACACTGGGCCCGGGGGGGTGGGGTGGGGTGGACTTATGTCACAGGTAGCTTCAAATGCTTCTTAAGTGGCCAGCATAAGGAAAAAAGGGAATAAAGTCACTGATTAGAATTAATGCAATATTAGGGTTGGAGGTATAGTTCAGTGACGGGGGCATGCGCATTCAGAAGGCCCTGGGTTTGATTCCTAATACCAAGTCATCACCATCACCATCACCATCATGGTTATCATCATCCAATTCAGGGAACAGTGCCAGGAATTGAATCCAGAGACTTTCACATGCTAGGTGTGATGATTTGTATGAGAATGGTCTCCATAGACTCACATAATTGAATGCCTGGTCCCAGCTGGTGGAACTGCTTGGGAAGGATTAGGAGGTTTGGCCTTGTTGGAGAAGGTATGACACTGGGAGCAGGCTTTGAGGCTTCAAAAGACTCATGTGAGCCAGGGGGGTGGTGACATATGCCTCCAGAGGCAGAGGCAGGTGGATCCATGTCAGTTCTAGGCCAGCCTATTCAGGACAGCCAGGGTTCCACAGTGGAAACCTGTCTCAAAAAACTTAAAAACAAAAAACAAAACAAAACAAAACAGAAAACTTATATGATTCCCAGGCTATCTGCCTTATAGGTGTGGTTGTGTCTCAAGATAGGAACTCTCAGCTACTGCTCCAACATCATGTCTGCCTGTCTGCTGCCATGCTCCCTGACACGACAGTCATGAACTCTACCATCTGAAACCCAAGCCCCAAATTCAATGCTTTCTTTCATACGTTGCTTTCATCATGGTGTTTTATCACAGCAATTGGATAACTAAGGCATTCTGCCACTGAGCTACACTTCTAACCTATGAGAAATATGTACATATTTTTATAGAGATTCTCTCTGCGTTGCCAAGGCTGGTCTCAAACTCATCATCCTCTCTCTCAGCTTCCTGAGTGCTAGGACTTTAGATATACACACCACACCTGGATCAAGAGGTAATTTTAACAGTTGGCCTTTACTGCGAGCTTACTATGCACTTCACATCATTTAAACATCTCATTTCCCAATTTCAAATAATGCTATTTGGTAAATATTGTTATTATTGCTTCCTTTACACAGAAAAGGAAGCGAGAGTTTAATAAACTTTCTAAAGCTGAGGCAGGGAACACGTTTAAAAGCAGGGCTCGAATCAGCCAGGCTGACTCACAAACCCGTGGTTTTAGCCGTGGCATTATCCTGTCCCTTCCAGGCACAGAGTTACTGTGAGTCAGTCGTTTGATGAGTCTTATAGGTCCATTTGCATTTATAACAGTTTTTGTGCTTCTAGAACCAGGAAGTATGTTTGCAACTCACAATCTGTAGTCTTTATCGGGGATTCACAGAACTTCAGTTCTTCATTCTTAAAGAGTAGGATCTAAGACATGAGAGAAACCCTTCTCCAAGAAAAATAACCTCTAATTAATTAGCATTTTAGTCATCACTTTCAATTTGTAGAGCTTATCCGCTATTAAATGTATATCCATGATTTTTTATTTGCATGTCATGTCAGAGTACTCCTAGCTTGCAAGCAGCTACCGATTCTCTCTCTCCTGAGGACAGCAACAGTATATTCTAAGTAGAGATAATGAAGACAGACTCTATGATATAAGTAACTCTGGTTAGAGAAAGTGAGCAGGAAAAATAGTCTGTGGGTTGTTAACAACTTGTTTTTAATTAGTCATTTCTCAGACTTTTATTAATTCGGAAAATATAGTTAATATTCTTTGCTTTAATGGAGAATCTCTGAGGTATGAATCCAGACCCTACCCAAGGCCACAGCCACCATGTTCCCCAGGCAGCCTGCTGTCTGCCTCACTTACATTCCCGTCGTGGTTTGGGCACGAAAGAGGCTTCCCCGCAGCCACAGCGGTGACCGTCTCCAGGATGGAAGAGTCCTCGCCATTGCTGCCTGGCGTTCGCTGCAGCACGTCCATGAGGTTTGTGATGAAGAAGTTGTTCTGGAGTGCGGCCACCCCTTTCTCAGGCAGGATAGAGGTCTGGCGACACACCGGGCAGGAGAGGGTTAAGCTGTGGGCTGGAATGTAGTTCTGCAGGCACCTGGTGAGGAGCACACATGGGGGCAGTCAGCACAGAGCTCACTACTTCTGCAGGTACCGTCCAAGTTCTTCTCATCAACCATGGCTGACCCTGGGCCGCTTTGCAGAAACCCTCGGTAGTGTCCTGGACCAGGGAAATGACGCTTCAGAGACCAAGAGCTAACCTGTCCTCATATGGCCTTGTACCCTGACCACACAAATGACTGTGCTTAGGAAGAAAAGAAAATGTCATGGACTTCTGAAGAGCCCCGACACCCACAGTGTGACTGATTCAAGGCCAAGCAACCTTGACCTTCCAAGGAACTTCATAGACCTGCCAGGTCAGATGCCCACGTGACTCACACACATAGTAAAGGTTAGAAGGTCTTGTTCTATAAGCATCGAGCTCACAAATGTGTGGACTCTTGCAACTAGGTGGAAAAAAAAGTCAGATGTGTTTGTTAACTGTGAAATTCATTTGACACTTCTCTTGCTTCTCCTCAAGAAGTACCAATTTCATCCAGTTAAGAAAGAGATGTATTTACAAACTCCATTTGAAATATTCCCGGGAACCTGTGGAGGTGGCACCATTATGATCCCTTTGGACAATGAGGAAACAGGGGTATAGAGAGGGACTAATTACCTCCACTAGAGTTCTTTAGGAGGTGAGGGTTAGAATAGGAGTCCAAACCCAGGCAGTTTGACATCATAAGCTAACCTTTAAATAACTAGAGTTGGAGTTGGGCTTGCAACTCAGTGGTTAAGTGCTTACCCACTCATTCAAGTACTGCAGAGACAAACCCAAAATTATACTGTGTGCTGTTTTCCAGTTGCTTAGCCAGAGTTTGAGAACCACCAATGTGACCTTTTATTTTGCAGATGGAGAAAGTAACACCAAGTAGGGTTAGCTTATGAGTGTCTCAGAGGTAGCTGGGGCTAAGTCTCTGCCAGAAATGAAACAGATCTGCTAAAGTAAAAGAAGATACTTAAGACCAAGGTATTTTCAATCTTAGTTTACTAAACAACCGACATTCATCAAGCTTGACCTTGCCCCCGCCCCCCTTTGTAGCTCCGTCGTCTTCCTATGTGTTTATTGCGTCTGTTCCTCCTATCTGCTCTGAGTTACCAAAGTTTGGTGTTACTTATGGCTCCATCCTATAAGCGCTTCTTCTGGGATCTTATACCATTATTAGTATAACAGACTTATTTCTTCATACAGATACCCTCCCTGAGTCCTATGTATTCTACCTCTTGACAGTTTTCAGATGTCTCAAGGGTCATAAAGCTCACCAGGCAACAAACCAAACCAATTCTTCCACAAATCATGTTCTTATCCCATCTTGATGAATGGAACCTCCATCCATTCATCTAAGCAAAGCAAAGGCTGGGAGGCATTTGTCAAATAGCAACTCTCCCCCATCCTTCATTTCTTCCACCCACCCCATCATTAAAGCCTGTCAATCAAAACAAAAAAACCTTCCCAAATTCTCCAGTTCTCTTCACGCCTGTTCTACACTATGTTTTAGACTTGGGCAAGGGCCTTACACAAGGCACACTGTTATCTATGCTAATTGCTGTAATCTTTCTCCATGTGGCAGTCAGGGTGACCTTACCAAAATGAGAAACAAACCATGTAAATCTCTGTCCCTCCCATCTGAGATGGAAGTCCACCAGAGCTACCACTGCTCTTTCCACGCTAGTTAGGATTCCACGTGTGGGACCACGGGTTTCTCACAGTTATGATGTAGCACTGAAGTGTCCTTGGTCTCTTCATTTGAAGAACATCAGCCACAGGGTATCTAGATCTCCCCATCTCCTAGTCCCTTACTATGGCACTTCTGCCTGTCTCTGACATTCCTTTCTCTCATTCAATTCCCTTACTTAACTTTTACTGACTCTTGGAGGTTTCTGCTTAGCAGTCACTCCTGCAGGCAAGCCTTCCCCGGTTAGGCAAATGCTCTACTACCATGGTTTCCAGTGGAATTTGGAAGTACAGCACTTGTCCCAGGTTTAATATATTAATTGGGATGGTTGGGAGTTCATAACCGGCCAGAGAAGATGTCAGTTTTGCTCGCCTTCTAAGCCTTGTTGGTGGTGTTTTAGAAGACACCGGGTTAAGTGACCAACTGTGAAGATGTCCTGAAGTAGTTTGTGTGTCCATCCAGCAGAAAGGGTCCTAAAACTCAGGTGCTTGACAGTGAGACAAACGGTATATCCTCTCTACAAGAACTACACCTGTGGACAGTGAGACAAACGGTACATCCTCTCTACAAGAACTACACCTGTCGACAGTGAGACAAACGGTACATCCTCTCTACAGGAACTACACCTGTCGACAGTGAGACAAACGGTACATCCTCTCTATAGGAACTACACCTGTCGACAGTGAGACAAACGGTACATCCTCTCTACAAGAACTACACCTGTCGACAGTGAGACAAACGGTATATCCTCTCTCTACAGGAACTACACCTGTCGACAGTGAGACAAACGGTACATCCTCTCTACAGGAACTACACCTGTCGACAGTGAGACAAACGGTACATCCTCTCTACAGGAACTACACCTGCCAGGGAAAGCTGCTGAGCACTGTCAAAAGGCAGTCACTCCAGGGAGCACACTGCGGGAACAAGTCAACTGCATAGCATCCGCAGGGACTCCCTATGGGAGGATCTCATGAATGTCTGCCAAGCATTACTGGAGTTAGCAGGGGTCACCCTGGGCAGCTCAGAAGTGCTGCTTCTTACCTAACACGGTTAAGAAAGAGGAATTTAAAAAGCCCCCGAGAGAATGCTAAAAACACAGGAATTAAGCAGTTCTGTTGACCACAGACTCTGAGTGACTCTCAACCCGAGAATGCCATGTAGGTGCCAGGCTATGGTAACTGGCATAGATCAAGTAATGGTGTCACCACCCAGGGACTGAGTGACAGTTCTCTGGGGTTCGTGTTTAGCCATGCCCAGTCAGTGCTAGCATGGCAGAGGGGAAGACCACTATTTAATTATCGAAGAATGTGAATTACTAAGCACTTGGGTAAAAACAGCCTATATATATATATATGAATAAAATGGAAAGGACAGTGCACATGAGCCATACCATCACTGAAATAAAGCACCCCCTACATAATTCCAAACAGAAGGAACCCTACAACTTCTAACTAGCAGCAAAGGTACCTTCTTCCCTCTACCCATCACCACCATCAAGGATGTGGTCATTCTGCTGCAGCTGGACCCCCCAGAATAAATCAAATCATTTCTTTAAATCCAGAGTTAAATACTACATGTATTTTGAATTGGATGGTCAATGAAATCAGGATATATTTGAAATCATTGGAAGCACTTGCTTTATGATCTAGAAATAGGAAGTATGCCATTTTAATTACATCTATTAAGTAACAGAAATGTACTTAACAGCATGTGTTCAAATACAGCTATAGTATTTATTCGCTTTTTAAGAACAATATTTATAAAGCCTTGTTAAGGATACACTTAAACTGAGCCACAAGTAAACTACATGCTAACTACTTCTCTTTCTGTTTTTATTTTTGTTATTGTTGCTTTTTAAAAGATTTTTGTTTGTTTTTGAGACAGAGTCTTTCTAGATAGCCCTGGCTGGCCTGGAATTCACTATGTAAACCTTGACCACACAGAGATCCACCTGCCTCTGCTTCTGAGTACTGGGATTACAGGAGTGTGCCACCACACTCCCAATCTCATTTTTTTTTGTTTTGTTTTTAAGACAGGATCTCAATGTATAGGACAGACTATCTTCAAACTCAAAAGTCTACTACCCCAGCCTCCCCAGTACTATAATTACAGCAGGTCGTATAACAAACTTCTTAACCCTATGGGTTTTTTTGTTTTGTTCTGTTTGTTTTTTCATAGTAAATCAGGTCATGGAGTATGAAAGCATGCCTCAAGGACTGGAGAAGTGGTTCCGTGTCTAGAGCACTAACTGCTCTTACACAGGGTTGGAGTGTGGTTCCCAGCACCCACACCCAGTGACTCACAACCACCTATAACTCCAGCCCCAGGCGATCTGATGCCCTTTGCTGGCCTGTGCGTGGGCGCGCACGCACATGTGCACACACACGTACTCATAAATAAAAATAAAATCTTAGCTAGGCATAGTGGTACACACCTTTAATCCCAGCACTTGGGAAGAAGAAGCAGGGTGCTTTCTGTGAGCTCAAGGTTAGCCTAGCCTAGTCTACACAATGAAAGCTGCCTCAAAATTAAATAAATAAATATTTAAAATGAAATTATCAATTGAAAACACTCTTTCAAGAAAGACAAATAAGCTGGGCAATGGTGGTGCTCACCTTTAATCCCAGCACTCAGAAGGCAAAGACAGGCAGATCTCTGTGAGTTTGAAACCAGCCTGGTCTACAACAAAGGGAGTTCCAGGACAGCCTCCAAAGCCACAGAGAAACCCTGTTCTCTGTCTCGGGGAAAAAAAAAAAAAAAAAGGAAGGAGGGAAGGAAGGAAGACAAATAAGAAGTGTGCTTTCTTTTTCGGAAGTGAGCCAGTCCATTTCTGGATGTTTTCTCAGACTTGTAATAGTATGAAATGAAGGAAGTCGCTGGTGATTCCTGACTGGGTTCTTAGAAGCCTGTTAGGAGCACAAGTCAGGTATTGTCTCCCGCAGGTAGCAGCACAATCCTAGGAAAGAGGCTGGCAGGTGGCAGGTGAGCGGGCGCGGGAGAAGGAAAGAAGCTTACCTCTCGCAGAAAGTGTGCAGACAGGGCAGGACCTTGGGGTTCTTGTACCGTTCCAGGCATATACTGCAGATCAGAAACTGCTTGTCGATCTGGCGCACCACGGGGCTTGGGATGCTGGCGCCCTCACTGGCCATCCTAGACCACTGACATGGGGGGCCGGCTGTCCTCGACCCTGCACGCTGCTGCAGTCAGAGAGAAAAGCCAAAAGGAAAACACATGGTCACCTTGTGTCTACACACCAGTCCTGGACTCTTCCATTCTAAACACAGGCAGAAGCCAATGTCAGTGATCTCAAAATAACCAACCAGAGCCAGCTCTCTTGACCGCAGAAGTAACAGCAAGCTTGTTTGTGCCGTAAACAACAATAAAATGATGACATCTTCCTTCCCCCACACAGACAACAGATTAGGAGAAGGTGTGTCTTACCAAGATGTTTGCTGAGTTTTAGTAAGCGGTGGCTGAGGGGGCAAATAGTTAGACAGCTATGCGCATGCCTTTACCCATGACTGTATTTGGACATACATTTGCCTTTTATGTTCATATGACATTCAGTATGTTTGTTGTTGTTTTTTTAATCGCCATACTTTGAAGTGACTAGAAGATGCCACTGCCAACTTGTCACACTGGTGTAAGTTATTTTAACAGAAAGTTGATGAGAAACAATATGCGGTCATTGGCAAAAACTTACCACCTCCTTTCTTATGTACCTGTAAATAAACTGATAAAAGACATTTGAATGCGGGAAAAGTTACACAGACTGTACTGATGTTAATTTTTTGTTGTTGTTGTTTTTTGTTTGTTTGTTTTGTTTTTCCGAGACAGGGTTACTCTGTATTGTTTTGGAGGTTGTCCTGAAACTCGCTTTGCAGACCAGGCTGGCCTTGAACTTACAGAGATCTGCTTGCCTCTTCCTCCTGAGTGCTGGGATTAAAGGTGTGCACCACCAACGCCCGGCTCTGATGTTAATTTTTTAAGCATTTGCTTGTTTTCTGTGTGTGGGCGTGTCACTGCACAAGTGGAGGTCAGGGGACAACTTGAGTGAATTGGTCCTCCTTCAGCCATGGGGATCCAGTAGTTGAACCCAGGTCCTCAGCATTGGTGGCAAGCGCCTTTATCCACTGAGCTATCTCTCAGTCCTGATGATTTGCATGTTTGTCTTCTCGAGTTTAGTATTCTTAGCTCTACACATCGGAAGTCCCACAAGAGGTTCAAAGTCAAGGAGGTGACCAGACTTGGGCATTTTAACACAGTAAACACTAAGGAGCTGTCTTTCCCTCCTTGTCTAAAATGGACATAAATTTTCCTCTTGTAAAGGACATCTCTCCCTCCCAACTGAAATGTGGGGAAGGCTCTCAGGTACTGCGACTGCAAGGAGATGGGTCTTCATAGCAAATCGTGACTGACAAAGCTCATAGAACTCGGTTTGTGCCCTGGGTCTGAAGATGGGAACTGCAGAGTATTTGTGCTTTCTGTGGGAACCACTCTTCCAAGCACGGATGATAGTTCTGAAGCCTCACCAAATAGCCAGTGTTTTTAGATGTACTTCAGCTCTTTGCTTTAAGGATTTGTTTATTTTTATTCTGTGTACATGAGTGTCTTGCCTGCATGCATGTGTGTGCACTACAAGAATGCATGGTGTCTGAAGAAGCCAGAAAAGGGGGTCCCGGCCCCTGGAACTGGAGTTGCAGACGGTTGTGAGCCATCATGTGGGTGCTGGGAACCAACGACCAGTCTTCTGAAACTTAACTAATCCAGTCCAAGTAGTAGTTCAACTTTGATTAAGAAAACCCTGGCTCTTACAGTCCAAGTGGTCAGCCCTAAAAACATATACATACAGGCAATACTAAAGGGCCCAGCATGTTGTAATTATATATTCAATCATTTTACACGTGACAGTAATTTTATATTTATTTTAATGTTATACTTATTAAATATGTGCAACTAAAATAAATACCACACACCAAAATTAACCAGATCCAAAACCTACACATCTCAGTGAACTTATACATAGTTAGAACAGGCATTCTGAAGCTGTGGAGTTTCACATTGGGTTTTACACTTTCACTATCTAATATATTTTTTATGTGGCTATGACAATAATAACTAGAGAAAAAGAGGTCATGCATTTGAGAGGAGGGTCATGGAAAGGGTGGGAAGGAGGAGGAGGAGTGGAGGAAATTGTATAATTTATTGTAATTAAAAATAAAATTTAAAACTAAAGCCCTGCCAAGATCCATTTTAGCAGAGTTACACATGTGACAGGTGTATAAAGGGTCTGTTAGGCAGGAGCATCACCTTTGGTCAGAGCTCCCCGCATGCTGAGCAGTGTAGATAGGAATATCTAATCAGCCTGCCTGCCCGGCGGCTAGACTTTCCGTAGAGCTAGAGAAAGATGTTCATTGACCGGATGAAGGCGGTTCATCTCTCAGAAGCTCAACCACACCCCTATGACATCAGACTAGTGAAGGAAAGCATTGTCTGTCTTAGAGATAAGGAAACCAAGACTGAGGGTTTCAATGACCTGCCCAAGGTCACCCAGGGAAACCAATGGGGCAGAACACTCAGGTTCCAGGTTTTCCACCTCCTCTGATGGGTCTCTCTGGTAGCTAATCTTAAACAAGGGCAATACCTGTGTGTGTCACAAAACAGCAGCTTGCTGACTACTGTGGCAGTGAAATTTGCATGACTGTGAGAAATCAACACATTCCTGAACAAAAATTCACCAAGGGTTCGATGATGATGATGATGATGATTTTATTGACAGTGATGGCTTGTGAAAGAACACATACTCAGCATTCAATATGAGGTTGAGCCCCTTACTCCACATGTTCTGTTAAGCTTATCATTAGACAGGGGCAGGAGGGATGACTCGGCAGTTGCAAACCCTTGCTGGTCTTGCAAGAGACCTGGGTTCAGATCCCAGAACCCACAGGGTGGCTCACAACAGTAACTTCCAGAGGATCTGACACCCCTCTGGCTTCCAGGGCACACATGTGATAGATACATAGTATACATATAGGCAGAACACTCATGCACATAAAATAAAAACAATAAATCTTTTTTTGAAAAACCAACTTAATTTTATTCTGAATAGCTTTAGCAGTTTAAAGTTGCATTTATTTATCTACTTGTTTGGGGAAGAGCGGGGGGGGGCTATTGTGCCACAGCAAGCGTGTGGAGCGTCAGAGGATAACTTTCGGGAGGGGCTGCTCTCCTTGCACTGAGTGGGTTTCGGGATTGAACTGAGACCTAAGGCTTGGCAGTAGCATGTTTACCTGCTAACCCATCTCACCTGTCCTTGACTACGTTTAATGTTTTCATGTGACCATTATATGCTCTGCCATGCTGGCTAACAACAGCAAAAAGAAGGGTTGGGAGGGGGAGAAAACGCATGGGGTTTAATTTAGATTTCAAAATCTTACTTTAATCAAGTGATATATATTAACTGAATATAATTCCTTAAGTCAACATTTCTATGCTTGAAAGCTTAAAAAAAACCCACTTGTTTCTAATTCTATGGTAATGATTGTGGTGAGTGAAAATGTCTTTGTTAGTATTGTTCACTTACACGGTAAATTAATTTATGCCTACTCATTAGCACTAATTTAAAATCATGGCAGTGTCGCAGATCTGTCACAAGTGACCTGTTGAAGGCATCTTGCTCTTAAGAACTCCCACAATCAACACAAAAGGCTTCTGAGCCCCAAGGACCCCCAGCTTTGCCAGGATAAGAGCACTTCCGGGAATATTTCTGGATGTGCACTACCGGAAAGCATTTCATGGCTCCTAAAGGGACAATGTGCTTGGAAGAACTCAGGCACAGCATGAGCCAGTGAGCATATGGGGACACTTCTAGGCCTCTGAGCAGGCAGCAGGTTTTTTTGTTTTGTTTTGGTTTGGTTTTAGTTTTGGTTTTGGTTTTACGAGACAGGGTTTCTCTGTATTGTTTTGGAGGTCCAGCCCAGCCTCGAACTCACAGAGATCCGCCTGCCTCTGCCTCCCGAGTGCTGGGATTAAAGGCGTGCGCCACCACCGCCCGGCTCAGGCAGCAGTTTTTAAAAGGGCTACCAGCGATGGATTCCTAGCGACATTCTTCCGGAGATGTCTCTCTCTATCTGGGCTTCCCAATTGTTGGCCACCCTTTCTGCGCCCAGATGTGGCAGAAATCAGTGTGGGAGAGGGAAGATCAGAGCAGAACTGCTCTTCTGCCGGACATTAGTAGAATTCGGTGGAAGGAACCATCCACCGAACCCAGGCAGAGCTGAAGGCACACCCATTGGCAGAGGGCGAGTGAAGGGGGAAGGCAGAAGAGCCTGTCTTCTTGAAATTGGGTCTTGCTATGCCACCCCGGTTCTCGAAATCCTCCTACCTCAACCGCGCAAGTGCTGGGGTTAGAGACCACCAGCTGCCATACCCGGTCAAAAGTTATTTTTGTATTACACAGTCCTCATTAGACAGATATTGACATTCACCAGCTAGAAGGGCTTTTATATGAAACCAAGAGGCCCCGAAACAACACCGCCTTCCCTGAATCGCACCCCCTACTGCTTTGTTGGGGCGGTCTCCTACTCATTGTGACCACACGGTTTAAACCCCTTCCTGTCCCCGGGTTTCTAGCACACTCTATCCCTTGTCTTTGCTGTCTTCTGCTCCATACGCCCCTATTTTCTGTATGGACCCTATGTTTGTGCAGCAACACCCCCCCATTCATATGTTGAAGCCCTAGCCCCTAATGTATTTGGAGACTGTGATCATTTGTGGGAGAGCATTAGGCCATGAGGATGGAGCCCTATGGACGGGATCTGAGCAGAGGACCAGTTGTAGTTTTCCATCCCCATTATTGGTTTCTGTTGCTTATTAGGGTAGGAAAGGTCTCGACGCTACAGAGACCCAGATGAGAAAGGAGGCCAGGCGAGAATCCAAGTCCGTATGGCTTTTCTAATCAAGGAGACCAGGGGCTGGTCATCGCAGCACTCTGGTTAAAGGCTCTGTTCTGTGCGTATTCCTCAGCCCACTCAGGCTGATGGCATGCGTCCCACTGTGCTTCCTGGTGTGAGTGAAGCTGCTCTCTCTCTCCCCTCTTTCTCCATGTGAGGACAGAATAAAGGGAAGGCCATCTGTCTGCAAAGCTGGAGGGCAGCTCTCTCCAGAACCCTGCCATCTTGGATCCCCGAACTCAGACTTCCAACCTCCAGACCTGGAAGAAACAATTGCTGAAAGCCCTCTAGTCTATGGCTGCTCTGTTACAGGAAAGACCTTCCTGAAGCCTCTTCGGACACAAGACGTAACGTGCTTACATTGCATCTGGTCTTCGACCCCTGCAGTGTAAGGTTTGCGGTCCCGGGGATGTGTGTCTGCACCCTACTGCATTCCCGGCAGCTAGAACTGTGCGGGCCTGGTTCTTCACCGTCACTAATTTCTGAATAAACAGAGTATGCTCCTGGCAGACTAAAGCACGATAGCGGGGAAAAGAAGCTAGGTTCTGTGACAAAGCATGTCTGCTGTGAATGTTGTCGTTGACATCCGCGTTGCCTGCCTCCCCGTGAGACAGTCTAAAGCTTACCAACACACGTTATCGTCCAAAGGATAAGTATTAGCAACATATTTTAACATGTTCGCAAATTCAGAGGAAGAGCTGGAAAACCACTGAGGACACATATGCACCACAGTAAACAGCCTAAGAGCTGGCACAGACGGCGCTCATTAAGAGCGGTTTTGCCAGCTAAACACGGCGTGTTGTGGGAGAAGCAACTCCGCAAACAGGAAACACAGTCCTTGCACAGAAAACCTCCTGCCCCAGCATCCCTTCCCTCACATCAACTCTCGTGTTTTCCCTGGCTCACTTGCTCAAACCTCCTCCAATTGGATGGGGATCACCAGCAAAGGGGGGGATTAATAGGAGACGGAACGAGAGAACGCTGCGTCCGCAGTTCCAAGACTCAGACCATGTTTCTCACCCCAAATTATACCGTTCAGATTAGGAAGTGGAGTTTTGTTGCTGACATCAGCATGAGGAAGAGGGAGAAGGGAGAATGGAAGAAAAAAATCTAGAAGGGGAGGGTGTGAGGCCGGGCAAGGCTGGTCTGGGGAAGACGACTGGGAAATAAAACTGAAGCATTTGATTTGTAAGTTGTGGTGTACTTCATTCAACACCATCCTGATCGTCCAAAATTGCATTTCTTTTCTTTGATTTTAGCCAGGGTCTTACTAAGTAGCCCAGGTTGGCCTCAAACCCATTACCTTCCTGACTCAGCTCCCGCCTGATTTCACTTCCGTCTCTATAGACAGCTTTGTGGTCCTCCTGACTCAGTATTAGTCTTTGGTCCTCTCAGCTGGGTTTATTTAATAACGAGCTTACATTTTCAAAAAGTTCTTCAACTAATAATGATGGTTGGTGAGGACAGGCCAAAAAGAAAATCAGCTTCTCTAGCAGATCGAATCTTCTGGTATGTTTATAGAACTCATAATTATAATGGATAATATGCTACATCGGGGCCGGTGACACCTGGAGCACAGAAGAAGCACCGTTTAAAGAACAGGTGTTTTAGGAGCTGGGGAGATGGTTCAGTCCGTAAAGTGTTCGCTATGCAAGCGTGGGGTCTGTAGTTCCGATCCCTAGAAAAAGCCGGGCCTGGCAGCAATGGCTGTAATCCCAGATCTAGTGGGCAGAGACAAGCAGAGTCCTGACTCATTCACTAACCAGGCTAGCCAAGTTGGTGACCCCCTGTCTCAAAAAATAGGGTGGACGGGAACCAAAGAAGACACTGGCCTCTGGTCTCCACACACACAGACACACATGTACACACATGCTTGCACACTGCACCCACCACTCCCCCACCGGCAGGATCTTTGGGTTAAGTTGGGAGTCTATTGTCATTCATCTATACTTGAACTGGCACTGAAACTGATGACTCAGCTAGAAGAAAGAGGGCAGTCTTCCTGTGAAATGAAACAGGGTGACCCACTTTCAGTTAAATCCAGCCTGATCCCAGGGGAGCCACTTTGTAAATTAGAAGTGTGTGTGTGTGTGTGTGTGTGTGTGTGTGTGTGTAGGCGCGCATGTGCACATTTAAAGGGTGAGAGCCTGTCCTTTGTCTGTCTCCAGGTAAAGGTGTGTTCAAGTTCCCAAAAGCTCTGCTCCTACTGCCAGGGATGGATGTGTGTGACAACTTCCCTCGAAGCACTGGCTTTTCCGTTCAGACGGTGATTTCTAAGCAGAGCCCCTCAAGTGCTCTCTCTCTTAAGCTTTGATTTGGGCTTTCAGCGTTCCAAAGGGCCCAGTCTGTCTGTGTGAGGAGCGTTAAACGGCAGAGCTAATTACCTTTTACCTAGTGATGGCCTGGGACAATCAAGATGAGTGGGGCCTCTTCTCCCCACATCCACCACTGTGCCATGGCTCCCCTGGGCTCCCTCTGGGGACTACCAAAGCACAAGAAAGGCAGGGCAGCCATGGTGCTGAGGGGCAGGGATCCCTTCTGGGAGCTGGGAGGCGCTGACAAAAAGGGAGAAAAGTATTCCACCTCAGGACTCCCCGAAACACAAGCCTGTGGGATAACAACCCTCCCCTTGCCTCTGGTACATAGGAAGCAGGCCGTTTCTACATGAGTTAGAATAAGTGCTTCCTTCAGTAATAAGTTTCACGAAAAAGAATAAAAGGGCTCAGCAGAGAAAGGGAGGCTATCCAAACTGAAGGCAGAGTAAGGCAGAGAAGTGGCTAGAAAGACCGGCAGACCAAAAGTAGCAACATGTGGCTTCTTCAAGTGATGCTATTTGAATACTTGGCTCCCCTCACCCCAGGCTCTCTGTTCTAATCTAAGGCTCCAAGTTTCAGGGGGAAACCTGATCCTTTGAATTCAGACAACCTGCACAATAGAAATACTCAGAAAACCCTAATAGCCGCTGGCCGTGTAGCAAATGTGCTCTGACCTGAAGCAGTCCTGCAGTAGTCAAGTAACAGCTGGAGGCCACGGATTTTTTTTTTAAGCCACTACAGATGTGCTCAAGTCAATCACACTGCTACAATCTAGGAGTAATAGACTCAACATTTTGAAGAAATAAACTATGATCCGGTTGGGGGTCTCGCTCTAGGAGTGTTTATCTGGCAAGCACATGGCCCTGTGTTGGATTCCCAACTAGGCAGGGGCTCACTCACATCCATACCGCCCCTCCCCCTCTCTGGCACACAAACAAAGATAATTTGCAGCATTTTTAAAACCTAAAAATATTTCTTTCCCTCCTGTATGTTTTAGTATATAAAAACATTTGTTAGAGCATTAGTCTTATCAGAGAACTAATAAAAGGAAGCAAGGAGATTCTTAAAATTTACGCTTTAGTAATGAAAAAAATGACTTCACAAGTAGGGTTTCTGCTTAATGCAGGCAGATAAGAGTGTTGAACTTATAGAAACCAATGTCAAAAGCTACCCAAATGAGGGGTATTTTCATTCTTGAGACAAAGAGTAAGTTTGTTTTTAGTTTGTTTTCTTGATCCATAACACCCACCAATCTCTTGTTGTCCCGTACATTAAAAACATTAAGTTAGCTTAGGACTGTGACGTCCTCAGAGGTGAAAAGGTACACAGACTTGCCTGTCTTTTTAAAAAATGTGTGGGCTAAATATGGTGTATTCATCAATCTTCAACCAGCACGTCTGTCAGAGAGTTTTTTACATTTTGTCCTGCAATCTTTGCAATGCAAATCACTTGTCTTTTTAGAGGAGCTCTTTAGAAGGCCAGGGAGGGCTGTTAACAAGGGTTGGAGGGCTGGGCACCGGAGGAGCTTCCTCATGTCACAGCACACATGGGACTTCTCATTGTGTGCTCCCGGCTGGCCCTCCAGTGGCCTGAATTATTTAACACTACAGTGGGTCAGAACAGTGCCTGCAAAAGCACCTGCCTGAAAACAAGGCAAGCACTCTGAAAATTAGTCCACACTACAAGAAGCAGACTCCTGTTTAGGGATCTGAGCAAACAAATGGCTGTCTTTACAGATTGCAGTGTTCAAAAACCTCTAGTAATTTACCCATGGAGAATAAAGCAGCTAGAACATAAGCTGGACAACTGATAGTCTTTTAAATGCCTCATTCAGAGTCTGTATCTCGGAAGCTGTGACACTGAACCCATTTTTTCTTCAGACACAAACATTTTCTTTTGGCTCCAGAATTCATTTATTCAACATTCAATTTTTAGTTGGAAACAAATAGCCTTCCTACTGGCTTTCCTATTGCTGTACAATGAAGATTAATGTCAGGGTGGGGCATTCTTGTAGAAAAAAACTCTGACACAAAAATTACCCATGATTCGAGGAAGCAGAACTAAGGGCCAACCCAGGAATTTCTCTCCCTCTATGTGGTTCTTCTATTGAGCTCCACCCAGGTTTGATTGTACTCCCATAGCAGGAAAATTTGTCAGAAAGAAATATTTGATGCCTGCGTGTTTGCAGTTCTCAATGGCATCTAGAATCCAGGGGGTCGAGTCATGCATTATGAATGAATGGGTTTCCAATGGTAACTGGGAGGCAAGGAGCTCAACCCAAGGCACAGAGTCGGGTGGGGGAAGGGTAGAATCGCACATCCACCATCTAGGAGAAGCTGGGAAGCAACCCTGCAAATTCAGTACTTCATCCAAACATCAAGATGCAGGAAATGTAATTCTACTTGAAACAAATCAAGACAACACTAAAATAGCGACTAATGAGGTTAAAAATCCAATCCGTTCACAATAGCTTTCTCCCCATACTTGCTATTTGATGCTTTTGTTTAGGAAGAGCGGGTCTTCCCCTATTTTGTAATTAAGGAGCGTGCAGCATCAGCATGAAAGGGAAGCGAGAGCAGCAGGAGCAGTTATCCACCAGAAATATCGGCAAGCAATCGGAACACTGAGGTTCCCATTTCTCCCGATAAGCAGAAAAGTCAGCGAGGTAAAGAAAGACATCCCCTCCAGGCTACCGCTGCAGCTCCGCGGCCACCCAAAAGAACAATGCACATTTCTGCTACCGTCTCAAGTTTGGAAGCACCATGCAAAGAGACTGGTTAAAATGCCCTACCATGCAATGCAGCCATCATCAGAAGCCCAGCATTATCTTCTGCTCTAAGTAGAGATGTGCCAGCTCACGGACAGGACAGAGGAAGAGAAAAAAAAAATGGAGGAAATGAGAGAAGGCTCAGGAAAGTCGGCAGGAATGTTTCTGGGTCATTAACAAGTAGGAGACCCCCTTCCGTATTCAGACCAATCAATCTTTATCTTACAGGACATCTTTTTCTCAGCGTCTGTTGAAAAGACTGCAGCAAGCCACACTGCAGCAAGGGATTGTGGGATAGGGATGCAGCAGCGAGCTGCAAAGAGATTCGCGGGTGGCTGGCTTTCCCCTCTGAGTCAGCAGTCAGCTGCTAGCATGCTCCGGTGCAAGGCCGCCAGGTCCATGCCCAAACCCGACTGCAGGATTAACCCCAGGAGGCGTGGGGAGCACCAGTCTCCTTGCAGTACAGACAGGATTGGTACCCACTGAAGGGTGTTAGGAAAAGCCGGCGCTGAGGCAGGAAGAATAGATTTGGAGAATCGATGAAAAAGTTCAGATCTAGAGGAGTGTTTTGGGTGGGTGTGACAGCATGCATTTTCATCAGTTAAACTAAAACTTGTTTCTTTGGACGTTTCAGGTAGCTTGAAAGAAGGCAGATTATTTAAATTGCAAAATCAGTTCGGCTCCACACCCTCTTCCACCCACCCCACTCAACGTGTCCCCCAGAAAAAGGTTTGTGCAACACAGTTCCACCAAGTCAAACAATGCAGAACACATTTCTCTTTCTTTCTTTCTTTCTTTCTTTTTTTTTTTTTTTTTTTGTCTTTTATTTTCCAAGACATAGTTTCTCTGTGTAAAAGCTCTGGGTGTCCTGGAACTCTTTTTGTAGGCCAAGCTGGCATCAAACTCACTGAGATCCGCCTGCCTAAGTGCTAACCTAAGTGCTATTGACAATAATAAAAAGACATTATTTCAAAATCTGCTAGTGGTGTATTCACAAACGTGGACCACTATTGCCATACTCAACTGTTCAAGGTTTTCGATACCTCAAAACCAATTCAAACCCTGTAGCTTTAAGCTGTCACCACCTACCTTTCCATCTCCTATAATCCTGTTTCTAATCTACTTTCTATATAGACTTTAACTTGTAGGGGACTCAAATACAAATAGATTTTTTTGTTCTAGACTCATGACAATGAAATCATGTAAACTATAATAATATGTGTCTGGCCTTTTCCATTCAGCAATTTTCAAAGTTCATCCATGATAATATATATCAGTATTATATTCCTTTTATTAACAGTATTCCAGTATATGAGGGTAATCATTATCTATCTATCTGTCTGTCTATCTATCTATTGAGACAAGGTTTCTTGTGCCTCCCTGACTGTCCTGGAACTCGCTCTGTAGACCTGGCTGGCCTTAAACTCAGAGATCTGCCTACCTGTGCCTCCTAAGTGCCAGGATTAAAGGCATGGGCCACTACTACCTAGCTATAATTATCCATTCTTACCAGTTGGTGGACACCGGGGATGTTCTGACTTTGGGGCTCTTATGAATAATGCTGTTAATAAACATTTGTGTACAGGTTTTTAGGTGGACATGTATTCTGCCTCAGATGTTTATAATGCAGTTGGGACTAGTTCTTAAAACTACAAGCCAGTCCCCCCATACCAGTTTACAAGGTCCTTTCCCTAAGACAGGCCATCACAAAGAAGAAATGAGGCTGGAAGTGGGGTCGGTCCTTAGTCTTGTTGCTGGGCTTGTGCTTAAAGAAGGTGTGCTTATTCAATCCTTCAGTGCCACTCACTGATTATCTAGTGCGTTCCAGGCACTGAGTAGGTCCTGAAGACATAAGAACTTAACAGACTCGGAGCCTTTATGCCATAATCAAATACAGACGATGGACTTTAGCATGCAGGCGGCTATCTAGTAAAAGTGATGAGGAATGGGGACTGCAGAGACATTCCTGCACAGGACACAGCAAAGGCTGGGAGGCCAGCTAGCTCACCGGCATTGAGAGTCCTAGACAAGCACTGTGGAGTGTCCTCTCACAGATGTGGATATTATGTGTCCCCCACCCCAAATGCCCGTGGATTAAAGGCGTGGTTCCTAATGTCCTAGAGTTTGGAGGTGGGGCCTCTGGGAAGTGATAGAATTGTGAGCCCTTTGACTTTATTGAAGGATTAACCCACTGATGACTTCATAATTTGATGTATTGTTGAGAGAGAGGTGCTGGAATTAGGAGGGGAGCATGTCCGGAAAAGACGAACCTTGTCCCTCTGTCCTGTGCTCTCACTTTCTGGACCTACCCGAGGTAACCAACTCTGCCCTGCTATGTTCTCTCTCATGGTGTGCTGTCTCACCCCCAGTGCTGGGGCCAGGCAACCATGGGTGGAAACTACCCTGTATAAGGTGCAGGGTTTGGTCTCCACAACAAATAAACAATTAAGGCACACCATACCTTACTAAGCCCTCTGAGCTGCCTCTACCCTTCCCCTTGTTTCTATTCAATGGAATCAGAATTAACTGTCTTCAGTTGGATCACATTATAAACAATGCATAATCATAAGAGCAAGACCTAATAAGGTTGGTGGGACTGTGGAATCCCATGACCCAAAACTTATTGATGTTATAGAATATGAAGATTCATTCAATTCAAGGCGCTTGAAATGCAGCTTCTCCTAGAAAGTAAACTACTCAGGATAACACAAAAGGCTATTTCTGATCTGGACACGCTGTCTTCCCTTTTCTGCACTTTCTCTCTTCCTTAGCTACAATCCCAGTTCCAAAGGTATGCCACCGTGTAAGGTATTTTTGCTTGTTTGTTTTTAAAGACATGACCCTTAACCAGGAAATAGAACCAAACCCGATGGTGATGGCTCTTGCTGGGATATGCCTCTCTGAAGGGTACACATGATTGCCATGTTGGAGGAGTGTGGATGCCCTATTGACACTTAGTGCTAGGCACAGTGGTACCAAACACCCTTCAATGCTTGGTAGAGTCTCACGCAAGCACATTTACAGCCCAAGTTTTCATCAGCATCTCCTTTGGGAATCCTCTTCCCTAGGCTCACACACCACTTGTTCTGGCAAGAATACACATCTTCTCCACCTCCTCCAGTTTCTAGACCCTCTCACCCCCAAACTGGGTGGGAGAGCCACTCATGCAAGTTCTGTAACATTCCTGACTAAAAGCTATGAGAGGTTCTGTCTTCTACTTCTAACCGCCCAGGCCCCAGTGCAAACCTTGTCCCATAATAGACACTCAGTAATAGACACAGAATGCTGAGATTTTCCTACAAAGCAATGAATGACAGAATATGATTTAAGGTAAATGTTCATCTCACAATTGGAAAACAATTGGACCAGAGGCCATTAGAAGAGGCAAATCTTATGAGGAACTTAAGAGGTAGAAAGGGTTGTCATCATAGATTTTTCTCCTTGAACTTCAAAGCAAACCTCCCAAAAGGTAGGAGTAGATATTACGATTATTCTAGAAGAGATTAAAGTTTAGAAAAGTACCCAGCTGAAGGAGGAGTAGCTGCTACAGAGTAGAGGTGAACTGTGCCATGGTGCCCCTAGTGGATAATTGATAGCAGTGAGAATGACCAGGCAATTTCAGAGGAGAGTAAAGCCAACTGGTTCAAGAGTTATTTGTGCCAGTGACACAATGGGTATAGCCAATGAAAAGTGGGCAACCTGAAACCAGAAAGCTTAGAAACCGCCTGGTGTAACCACTACTTCATTTTGTTTTCAAAGAATTCTTGTGAGAATCCTTGCCCGCCTCTCACGAAAGACGTTGGTAAGGAAGAATTGTTTCAGCCCAAGAACTCACATCAGAACTGGCCTGGTGTTGGTACTGCCACTAGACATGTGTCTATCTCACAAATGATTATGTGCCAGCAACTGTGTTAGGCACAGAAAAATAAAGGACAGAAATAGAGCTTCTAGAAATCATCCCCAGGAGCAGGGTACCCTGCTTCTAGCTCATAGTCATGTGGACTGGATCCAAGGAGAAAGACAGCTCTTTCCAGCTAGCAATAATGGCAGAAAAGGGGGACCCAGATGAAGCACCCTAATTAAAGACATATTTGGGTGGCTTCTGCCCAGGACAAAATACAAGAAAATAATTGCTTTTCTTCTTCCAAGTCCTGTATTCCTGTTAATGACCTCTGAGTTCGTGATACCTCTCCCACGGTGACTCATACTGAGCAGACAACAAATATTGAATCCAGTAGTCTTACACAGAAAGGAACTCCTGTTGGCCTGGCAGAGTGGGCTGAGGCTGCTTCTTCAATGGGCACTTCTAAGCTGCTCCACTAGTAATCACCTAGCATTATGCCTGGTAGCCAGTTCCTCTATAATTTGTGGGTTTCAGCATCCTATATTCTTAACTGAAAAGTGTATTCTCGTATCTCAGTCTTCATAATCCTTCCCTTTCCCTAAACCGGGGTCGGTGGTTTGGCAGTCTTGGCTATATGTCATCTCAGGAGCTTGGAATGTAATTTGTGGAAGTGAGGGCACAGGTTCATTTAGATCCAGTGTGTTTTCCCTTATACAGTTTTTACCCATAATATTCATTCCCTGGGACTGCAGTGCCGGAACCCCACAGGCTGCCATGGCCCAAGAGAAATTCATAGTTCTGAAGGCCAGATGTCCAAAGCCAAGGTTGACAAGGCTAGGTCCCCGGTGAGCCTTCAGGGGAGCATTCTTCCAGTGCCTGGTACCCACTAGTTTCCCCTGACTATAAGTAGACGTATCCCTTCAGTCTTGTTACCCATTCTGACATGACTATCTTTTTGTATGTCTCTGTCTTCACATGGCATTTTTCTCTCCGTGTCTCTCTGTTCTCGTGTGAGAACAATCACATTGGATGAGGACCCAGTGAGTATGGCCTCATTGTAACTTGACTACACATGCAAAATTTCATTTCCAAATGAGGTATCAAGGGTTAGGGCCTCAGTGAATTTGGGGGGGAAGGGATCCAATTCAACCTGTAATATCTACACTGGGTAAAGGGTAACATGAAGCCCAGGCTGATGCAGGCCTGAGAGCCACCTGAGTTTCCCCACATTCTTCCCTTACAATTCTAGAGTTTAAGTTCAACGGAAAGCGCTCTGTTTGCCTTATTTGTGCTGAGCAGTGGTGGACGTGTGAGTTTGCCACACAGCTAAGAAGTCAGACGACTGGTGGGAAAGGGGGCTGTGAGTGTTTGCATCAAGTTGACTCTAGCCTCCTTGACTCTGCTCTCTGTATCTCTGTATACAGCATAGAAGTGGGCATACAGCTGTCCTCACAGTGTGTCCAACCTACCTGATTCTTTGTACTGCTCCGTTGATACCAAAGACAAAAGCAAACAAAAAACAAAGTGCACTTTGGTTTTTACTAATGTTTGTTGTGTATAATCCAAAGCTGAATAGCTTCTTCCCACAGTTGGAATGGAATCCTCGAGTACTAGGTGCTAGCCCTGGGTTCCTGATATCTGTGCTGGACTGGCTACGAGGACCTTGTGATGGTGGAAGCTTCACCCCAGCCCCTGGCATCCATGTACCCAAAGAGTCTGGGATGTTATGGTGGAGGTTCCACCCAAGCCCCCTCCCCTATCTCCCTCCAAACCCCGCTGCATCTCAGAAAGCCCGCCAAATGATGTCGCCTCCCCCAGAGATGCTCAGGACCACTCCCACAGGGTATTTACACAGCCTTTCAGAAAATAGATTCGTGGTTTTCCGGTCTTTCTTTTCCATCTCCTCTCTAGGGGACTGGAAGGCCATCTGGGAGCGTTGTATCCATTAAACGAGGGCTTTTTCTAATTCAGTTTGATTTGGATTTCTGCATCGGTGGAGAGGCTTATTGGGGTGCAGGAACGTTTCAGACCTGACTTTGGTCCCCAGAACCCATGGGTTATTGTTTTGTTTTTAAAGAGAAATCCAGTCACAGCAGTCTTTGTTACTCCACAGGAAGACTCAAGAGGATCCCGAGTCTCTTTGCCAGCCAGCCTAGCCTACTTGGCTGAGTTTCAGGCCTACAAGAGATCCTGTCTTAAGAAACAAGGTGGTGTCATCCGAAGGACAGCTGAGGTTGTCCTCTGGCTTCCACATGAACGGGGACACGCGCCTTAGGAAACATGAACACAGTTTATCCACGAGAACATTAACACGCACATCAGAGGCACTTGTTTTCCTAAGCAAACAGGGGATCATACTTTTTATTTTAATGGTTAAATTCAAGGTTGTTCCTGCAGGGAGGGAGCCTGGGGCCTTTATGTCTTGCAAGCAAAGAGCGCCAGTCATGTGGGCGCGGCTGACCACACCCAGAGGCACCGCGGAGTCCAGACTGCCTGCAGGAGACAGTAGGTGGGTGATTGGGTGAGAGGCTACTCATGCCTAGCTGCAGGCATCTGCCTTTCCTTCTTAAGGACATTCTTTTCTTGCGGTCCATACAATAAAATACATTTACACCAGCGTGGGGATCTGATCCCTGAGCTGGCACACGTTCCTCTATATTAGCAACCAATCCAGCTCCTGGACTCTGTGGCAGGAAAACAGAACAAAACAAAAATCACAGAGACAACCTCAGCTGACGGCCCCAGGAACTTCGTGGTTCTGTATAAGCCACGCCTCCCGTCTCTATGGCAACAGGTCCCTCCCCAGGAAGCCAGCCTTACTTCAGCAAAAGCAGGCTGTTGCTCCCAGTTAGTGATGGCATTGCGTGTAGGATTTCTCCCTTTCTCTCCCCCGGTGAGTCTCGTTGGCTAACCTTATTCCTCACAAGGAATTAAAACCTTTTTGTAGAACTGATGCAAGTGGCGGAGATGGGCTGTGCCGGCGGGAACAGGGCTCCGCGATGACAGCATTCTAAACTATGAGTGACTGGGATCGCCCTGGATGGACATCCCACAATATTTTCAGCTGACGCCCTTTTCCAGTCTTCTGGGACTAAGGCTCGGGTGTCTCCCGAGTCTTAGTGCCTTTCCCCGATCTTGTGGACTTAAGGTGTCTTTCGAACAGGCTTGAGTTTACTGAGCGTCCAGTAACTCAGTGCTTTAAGCCGAAGGAGGTAGTAAAATAGGCCCTTTGTCTGAGGGGAGTAAACTGAGGACTGACCCCTCGTCCTCACTGCCTGCCTCTTCCAGCATGCCATCAGAGGACAGTGTCTTTCTAAGCAGTCCTTGGGATTTCTTCATCTGTCTGGTTTTTTGTTTGTTCGTTTGGTTTTTGGTTTTTCACTGTGTAGCCCTGGCCGTCCTGGAACCCTCTCTGTACACCACGCTGCCCTCAAACTCACAGATACACGCCAGCCTCTGCCTCTGGAGTGCTGGGATTAAGGGCGTGCACTACCACCCCCATCCTTCAGAATCTTAATGGGAATGGCCACATGTGGTCCTGATTAAGGCGTGGCTCAGATTTGCTCTACAACGGGTCCCCTGTGTGGTCAAGATCCCGTGGATGCCTGAAACTGGGTTGCACTGAACCCTCGATGTGTTACATTTCCCCATAAGCACATGCATGTCTGTGATAACTTTCACTTTGGTGATGAATTTACTTAGAAACTAGGAGCATTAAGAAGCTGACAACTAATTCAAAACAGGGAACAGTAACAATAGACTGTAATCAAGTTGGATGTATTGTCTCTTAAGGTAAGTTTTTACCTTTTTACTTAAAGGAAGCACTTTACATTTTCACTTTGATAGAGCTAAAATAACAACAGCACAATTTCTGCACTTAGGGACTTTAGCAAGTTAAATAAAAGGTACTTAAACACAAGAACTGGTGGGCCTACTAACCAACAGGCTACCAACAACAGGTGGGTAGCCTATACATGCTAAACAAAGGGATGGTTCCAGTCCTGGGTAGAATTGTCCCCATCAGATTGACCTATGGGTATACAGGGGGGGTGGGAGGGAAGGAATGCCCGGGGGGGAGGGAATGATTGCTAACTGATAAAGGAGAGCCTAGTCTACTGTGGGCAGTGCCAACCCTAGGCAGGTGAGTCTAGGCTGTGTATGAAAGATAGTTGGGCTGGAGAGATGGCTCAGCAGTTAAGAGCACTGACTGATGATGGGGGATGTCATAAAACACTGTTTGGCCAATAGAGGCAGGAAGATAGGCAGGACTAGGAGACAAGGAGAATTCTGGGAAAGGTAGGCACAGAGAGGCCCTGGAAGAGATGCCATACAGCTGCCAAAGGAGTAACGGGTCTGGGTACTCTCCTCTGGTAAGCCAAGACCATGTGGAAATGCATAGAAGTGGGTTAATAATTAAGAGAGAGCGAGCCAGTAAGAAGCCCCAGCCTCAGCCAACTGTTTCATAATTAATGTAAGTTTATGTGGGGCTCAAGGGCAGTGGGAGAAGAAAACCCCAGTAGCCAAATGGCTGCAGGAAGCTCCAGCAACAGGCTGCTCTTCCAGAGGACCAGGGTTCAGTTCCCAGCACCCACATGGCAGCTCACAACTGTCTGTAACTCCAGTTCCAGGGGATCCAACACCCTCACACAGACATGCAGGCAAGACACCAAAGCATATTAAACAAAAATAAATCATTTAAAACTGTTTTTAAAAACGAAGATAGCTAAGCAAGTTAGAGGGAGAAAACCAGCAAGCCAATACCAATCAGTCAACATATAAGCTGTTATTATCATTGAAGGCCCTAAGAGATTTATTAGTCCTTTTAGGAACCCATACTTCGGACGTATGTAAGACTCAATAAACTTTTGATTACTGGATGTAAGAACAGATGAAAACTGGGTGTATAGCATACACCTATAATCCCAGGACTCAGAAGGCTGAGGCAGGGGGATCACGAGTACCAGTGAGCACAGTGAGTTCTAGACCAACCTGGGATATGTAGGAAGATCTTGTCAAACAATAGGGTAAACAACAAACAACAATCCAAAGAAAAATATGTAACCCCCCTTTTCATTTTAACTTCAATAAAACCAACACATGAGAGTGAAAGATGCATGGAGACCTCTCTGCATGCTTCGTGGGGCTGGGCTGGCCTCAGGCTACTCTGCTTCTTCCCACTCAGTACTGTCGTTTCCATGCTGACTGGGACATAGGTGACTGGGGTTTCTTTGTGGATCCTGGAGGCTCCCCATACAGACTCTTGGTGCCAGACCAGCCTCAAGAAGGGAGGAGTTTCTGTTCACCACCGCTGCATCTCTTTTTAGAGAAATCCTGGCACCAGCTTCTGTCCCTTCCAGCCAGCAGACTTCCTGGAAAGACTGGAGGAGGCAGGGTTCCTTTGGTCTCTTTCCAGAGTCAAAGCAATGCTTTCTGATGTCAGCCATAGTTTTTGGACCCTGAGCTCCCGTGATTAGTTTCCATAGCCTCTTCTGAATGGACACATTGTAGCAAAGGCTGACCTACACAGTGCCCTCAGAGGTCAGAAGTGTGTCTACACCCAGTGTCGGGAGGCTACAGTGCCGCTGGAGGGGAGGACGCTGGAGAGTGGAACAGCTGGATGGCAGCAGAGGGAATGAACACAGCATTATGGGAAATGAACACAGCATTCTGGGAAATAATGAACACAGCATTCTGGGAAATAATGAACACAGCATTCGGCTTGAACCTGCCAGTAGGTGTCTTCCTAGGACTGAGTCCTAGAGCCATGCCTCTGGGGCCAAGGTCAAAAGAGAGATACCCCAAGCCATCTTCGATGCCCTTTTTATCTTTTCTTTGTGTCTTGTTTTCCCGTTTGTTTGTTTTTGTGGTACATCCTACCTTCTTCCCTACTCTTAACCAACTTTATCCAACAAACCGTATTTAGTGTCTGTGATGTGCAGGACACTGTGCTGGGCCACACAAGCAAGGGTCACTATCACTAAGGAACCAAAAATGCATTCTTGAGAGATCAGCATAAAAATCCTCATTAAACAATAAAAGTAAATCACAAACAGCTTTTTATCTGAATTCTCTACCTCAGAGCTGTAGGGATAAGTGGGTACTGCTCCAGATGACTGCGTAGTTTCTGTGGTGGGTAAGGATTTGAGTTCTAGAACCAGACAGATGTGGGTGTACACTTCAGATCTGGCATTGACCAGCTACGGGGGGCCAAATTATTTCATCTCTCTAGTTGTTATCTTAAAATGGTAATCAAAAGAGATCTACTTTAAGGCCAGGGTAGGCAGATTACTTCCCTAGAAGAGAAACAGAGAGAGACAGAGGAGAGACACACAGAGAGATTGTGTACTGTGAGAATTAAATAAGATAATGCCTAAATGATGGTTAGGCCACTGCCTGGCACGTAACAAGACTCAAAAAATGTCACACGTCATTGCTGCTTTGCCTACTCAAGCCTAGGAGCCAGGCACACGTCCGGGTTTCGGACTTTGGGCAACAAAATATAGTGCAGCAAGGGACTGTAGCTGTGTGCCAACAAAATTGTTTTTCTGAGCATGGAAAGCTGGAATTTTATCTAGCTTTCACATCACAGAGGTTTTTTTATCTTGGCTTTTTCCAAATCATTTGACAACATAAAAGCCATCCCCAGCACTCAGACTGTATAGAAACACTGGCTTGCTGGCTGGTTTGCTCATCTCCTTTTGTGGAATTTGCTTCACAGGAAATTCTACCTGGGGAGTGAGGGGGGGTCTCCAATTCTCCTGAGTCGGTGCACAGATGCTAAGATGTAAGCCAGACTGACTAACACAGTTATAACCCAACCCAGAGACCGCACAAACCTCACACCACATGAAAGTAATGCCTACACTTTAAAGCAAAGATGACAATACTTTCCATTCACTGGTCAGCAGGCTAAGGCCTGGAAAAGGCAATCTGGGCTTTGCAGAAAGGCATGCTGCTCTTGACAGATGCGAGGATTCGCTTGCGCGCACGCCGTTTCTTGGTGCTGTGAGCTGAGGAGCTGGCGTGAGAAACCCTGGATTGAGGGTCCCAGGCTCACTAGACTTTACAAGCATGGGAAGAAGGAGGCAGAATGCATGCTTAGTGAAGAGAGCTGGAGAGTGCAAACGAGGGCAGGAAGAACCTACTAGAAAGGGGCGAGGTTGATCAGTATGGAAATCAGATCACAGATGAATTTACTCTTGAAACACTCAGGTACCCCCAAGTAGTGCACATTCCCCTCCTGTCCTGACTTCTTCCTGACCCTCTTACATGGTCGTGGATGGAAATAGAACACGTTGCCTTCCTTTCTTCTGAAACCCGAGAAGATTCTCAGTCTTAAGTTTATATCAAATTCTTGCAGGCCACAAATTCCTTCTCCAATAACGTAAAATGCCTACCTAACCCAGAGGCACAGCAATTCATAATTAGATCCAGTCTGCTCTTGCACATTGTTAGAGGAGCCGTCTGTAGCCAGCCACTGTCCTTTGGTAAAGCACAGTTCATCGAGTCCAACAGACCCCTCTAGCCGCCCTCAGTGCCGGATGTCCCGCCAGTACCTGCTGACTCCACGGAGCTTCTCCTCCGGGACAGTGTCTTAGTCACTGCTCTATAGCTGTGAAGAGACACTATGACCAAGGAAACTCTTACGAAAGAAGGCATCTGATTCGGGGCTTGCTTACAGTCTCAGAGGGTTAGTCTGTCATCGCAGTGAGGCCGGAGCATAGCGGTACATGTGGCACTAGAGCAGGAGTTGAGAGTACGTCCCGGTCCTCAGGCAGAGGAAGAGAGAAACGCCGGGCTTGGCACATGCTTCTGAAACCTCAGAGCCCATCCTCGCCCGTCCTCGATGACACACTTCTTCCGAAAAGGCCACACCTCATGATCCTCCTAATCCTTTCAAAGAGTACCACTCCTGGGTGACTAAGCATTCAGATATGTGAGCCTATGGGGATCATTCTCATTCAAAACATACAACAGGCATTCCCATCCTGGACACTTGGAGTCACAGGTGACCAGCTTGCCCCTGACAACCTGTTTTAACTGGTACTGGATGAAGAGACGGAAGGACTTGGGCTCCTTTAGAAAGGAGAAAGGAACGGAACCAGGTCAGGGTATACCCACCAGCACTCAGTGCTCTTTCTCTACCCAATGAGAAATCTGTGGGCATAGAAGGGCACAAGGTGGGCATGCGAGTCAGGAGGAAAATCAACAGAAAATGGTGCAAACACTAATTCTTAAAGTTTTAAAGATTCCATTTATTTTTATTTTATATGTGTGGCGCTTGGCCTACACGTACTTCTGTGCACCACAGGTGTACAGTGCCAGAGCAAACAGCTGTTAACCACCATGAGGATCTGGGAACCAAACCCCCACCCTCTGGAAGAACAGCAACTATTCTTAATGACTGAATCATCTCTCCAGGCCAGTAATTTAAGACAAAAAAAAAAAAGTACAAACCACAGGTCACAAAAATTAACAGTTTCTTTCCTCTTTGCTATCTTACAAAGAGTGACATTCACACCTTCTAAAGGGAGGATGTCTCCTTCCATGACCTATAAGTCTTGGACCACACAGCCTGGATCAAGGGCATAAACCCCATCTGCTCCAGTGCGGATGTATTCTTCAAAGACTCATGTGGTTAAAGCCTTGGTCCACAGTCTGCAACACTACAGGGAGCTGGGGAACCTTTAAGAGACATGGTTCTAGGGGGAGAGATGGCTCAGATGGCTCTTCCAGAGGTCCTGAGTTCAATTACCAGCAACCACGTGGTGGCTCACAACCATCTGTAATGAGATGTGGTGCCCTCTCCTGGCCTGCAGGCAGACATGCAGACAGAACACTGTATACATACTAAATGAATACATCTTTTTTAAAAAGTGGAATGTCTTCTGTCACAGGGGTTGAGGTCTTCAAGGAACTGTGACAACACAATCCCATCCTCTTCCTCTTTTTCATGTCCCAGAAAAAGGTGAGTAGCTCTGTGCACTCTCTGAGCACCGTGCCCTGAGCCCAGACATACCATTGGCTTCATTTTCACTGTGGTGATGCCAGTTGAGAGCTCTGAGGCTCCACCCAAGTCCCAGCCCTGGCTCAGAACAAGTTCACTTCCCTCCTTGGCTGGTGAGACCTTTCTCCCAATAATCAGAACAAAAGGAAGCACGAAACTTGCCTCCCATAGATTCAGAGTGGAAAGGACCTTAGAGATGGTTCATTCAGCCATTTCCAGGTCACAAAATACCTTCTCCAAACACATTGTGAACCTCTGTTCCATCCCAGCACAGAGATAGGGGTGGGGGAAAAAGTGCTCCCTCACACCTCGTACCCATCATGTCTCCCCCACCCCACGTCCCTTCAGAACAGGGATATCTGGCTGTAAAGCCAGTGAGAGCACCACTGTACAGACAAAGAAACAGGTCTGTGGGGACATGGTGACTCCCTCATGCCATACAGCTAGGAAAGCCCTTCAGAGGACCCAGGCCAGTCTCCTGTCCATGCCTCTCTCCACCATCATCTCTGGTAAGACTGGGGCCGTGGAGGCCTTTGAGGGCTCCTCAGCTCTCCTGGTAACCAGCCCCACAGAGAACGTTCCACAGCAGAGATGGTTAGCAAACAAGAAACAAGAAGTCTTGCTAAGTGAGGCTGGAAAACTCTGTTGTAGAATAGAAAAGGGCTCTCACCCACAGCTGGCGTCTAGAGGAATTAATGGCTGAGGGTTTGGAAATATGGACACTGCAGCTAAACAGCAGGAGTTCCCAAGATAGCAGAGGAGCCGGAACCCTGCACAAAGGACTGTAGTAGTCAAAGGTCAAAGATTCTGTCAGCCACCAGGCAAAGGGCGGGGGGGGGGGGGGGGGATAAACCATGACATCCTGTTAGAAGGGGATTCACAGAGAAGGCACACTCCAGGAATAGCTAAGAAGCAAAAAGACGTAAGATGTTATAGTTAAGAAGCCTAGTCCTCAAAAAAAACCCAGCACTGACACAAACATGGAAGTGTGTGTGTGTGTGTGTGTGTGTGTGTGTGTGTGTAGGGGCTTTCTGACTGTAGAAGCCTTTTAATGCAAAGTGAACAGGTTGAAGTGATAAAACACAGATGTGGTGGTTGGCATCATTTTATTGGGTATCTGATTCTCCCCTTCTCATTCTGACTGGGCTTCAGTCGTCTTCCCTTTTGGGCAGGGGTAGGTTGAGATGCTGGTGGCTAGATTCAGGACCATGGTATGAGCTTTATGACTGAGGTACACCCATTCCTCTATTCTACTTGGGTTTGTTTTTGTTTTTCTTTTTTTATTTAAATTAGAAACATGCATGCTTCAAATGTCAATCCCAGCTCCCCCCCCCTTCTCCCTCCCAGCCCCACTCCCACCCCCTCTACCCCCAGTCCAGTCCCCACATCTTTCCCCAGGGAGGGTAAAGCCCTCCTTGGAGGGATCTCCAGAGTCTGTCATTTCATCCAGGGCAGGACATAGGTCCTTCCCCATGTGTCCAGGCTGTGAGAGCATCCCTTCATGTGGAGTGGGCTCCCAAATTCATTTGTATGCCATGGTGAACACTAGTCTACTACCCAAGGCCCAGAGATTTCTGAGGCCTCCTCACTGACACTACATTCATGGAGTCTGGATCAGTCCCCTGTTGGCCTCTCAGCCATCAGTCTGGGGTTCAAGAGCTCCCCCTTATCCAGTCAGCTGTCTTTGTGGGTTTCACCATCATGGTCTTGACCATCTTGCTCATCACTCCTCCATCTCTGTCACTTTGTTTTTGTTTTTGAAGACAGGGTTTCTCTGTGTAACAGTCCAGGCTGTCCTGGAACTCACTTTGTGGACCAGGCTGGCCTCAAACTCACAGAGATCCACTTACCTCTGCCTCCCAAATTCTGAGATTAAAGTTGTACACCACCGCCACCTGGCTCTACTAATTATTTTTAAATGTTCTCTTTCTAAGTTTATGTGTATGTGGTGTGTGCATGTTCATATGTGTGAGTGTATGTATGTGTTGATTAAAAGCTATTGCCATGTGTTTTTCTCTACCATTTGTTTTTAAATTTATTTTATGTGAGTGTCCTGCCTGAATGAATGTGTGTGTGTGCCACATGTGTGCCTGGTGCCTGCAGAGGTTAGAACAGGGCATTAAATCCCCTGGAATTACAGATAGTTGTAAGGTACCATGTGGTGCTAGGAACCAAATCGAGGTCTTCTACAAGTGCTCTTACCTGCTAAGCCATCTGTCCAGTGCGCCCCCTCAACACACTTTTGTGACAGGGTTTCACTGTCACTCTGGTTGACCTGGAACTTACTATGTTGACTAGGCTGGCTTCTAAGTTATGGAGATCAAATCGCCTCTGCCTCTAGTGCTGGGATTAAAGGCATATGCCTCTATACCTGGTTTCAGGGTGAGACAGGCCCCTGAACCTCACTTCACTTTGGTGTATAGAACAGTTGACCCGTGGCCTCCAGGGATCCTCCTATTTCCATTTTCACAAAACTAGAATACAGGTCCACAACATCACACCTGGCTTTTTACATGGGTGCCAGGGATCAGAACTTAGGTCTTTCTGCTGGTTTGGCAAGTGCTTGACTATGTTATTTCCTAAGTCCCACTTCATTCTTTCTTAAAAAGCTATTAATATGAATTTACTTTCATGCAGAAACATGACAGCCTGACCTTCACTTAATTTCCCTGTAACTTAGTCATTATAGGAGGAGAGTTTACTTCTGATTTCTATTTCATGGCCAGGGTTCCTCCAGCACCAGTCCTAAGCCAGCCTTCCGGTAGCCTCCAGATTCTAACTTTCCCTTTCACTCTCTTAGCTGTGTCTGACTTTTTAAGAGCAAATTGACCCATCACCTTGAGACCAACCTCTGAGATCTTAAGTCTAGAACAGGACACTGCCATTCTTTGGTTCATAGCAAACTAAGCCATCTCTGTGAGGGGTAGAGTAGCTCCTGGTGTAAGGCTCCCATCCTTACATGAGGTCTCTTTTCTGAAGCCATACTGACCATCCTATCCTAAGTGTCACCGATGTATGCCACACCATATCATTTGAATCCCTCATGACAGTTTGTCACAGTTTGTAATCACTGACACAGTTTGTAATGACTAACACCGTTTGTTGCCCTCACCAACCTATAACTTCACGGGGCCAGCATGACCCTCCATGGGTGACACAGTAACTCAGCACATATTGTAGTCCCAAACTAGGTATCATGAAGAATGACTGAGTGTCCTGCCTACCTGGACATTACCCAGGATAATGTCACCCATCACTGCCTGGAAGAACACAGTTCCACTGACCAGGTTCTTACATAAGACTCTTCAGCAACAGTCAGATGACCCAGGGCCTGTCTGCTAAAGAGCCATTTGAATTGTCTTTGTAGATGCGTTCTGTTGGAAAGTGGCATTAACAAGCTATGAGGACATCCCAACTTCTAAGCGTGACACAGACTCTGTGGGAACAGTCTCCACCCTGCTTACAGAAAATATGCTCATTTGTGTGACAGTTGGTAGTCACTGTCAACTTGGCTGGGATTAGGATCACCATGGAAACACAGCTTTGGATGGGTCTAGGAGACTACTTCCAGAAGAGTTAAACGGAAGAGTGAAGACCCACCGTGAATGTGGATGGTATAATCCCATGGGTAGGGTCCGCTCTCAATAAAAAAGACAGAGAGCAGAGCATCAGCATTCATCTCTCTCTGCTTCCCGACTGCAGATGCCATGTGACCAGAGGCCTCCTGCTCCTGCTGCTGGGCCTTCCCAGCCATGGTGGACTCTTAAGCCATGAGCCGAAGTAAACCCTTTGTTCCCTAAGTTGCTGTGGTCAAGTGTTTTTTGGCACAACAACAAGAAAAGTAACTAATACACCCAGGCACTAAACTGTGCTTTGTAATACATTTATGTGTCTATGTGATTACTGGATACAGGTAAATACTGGAAGCAATGAAAAATAAACATCATTTGGACATTTTCTAATTCACCTTTTTTTTTTTTTAATTGCTGGAAGGAGAACCCAAGGATTCGTGTTAGGACAGGGTTCTGTGTCAGCCATATCCGGAGTCCTGCACGTCACTCTAGCTTTTATGTGTTCTGAACTAGTGAGCTCTTGGAAACTGTCCAGTCTTAGGAGAATAGGTAGTATCTTACTGATGGTAAGGGGAATGTAAGAAGGAGAGGTTCTAGAGGCTTCTCACAGCACTCTAGCTCATAAGACAGTCTAGGGGCTGTGGTGTAGCTCAGTGGCAGAATGCTTGCCTGACTCCATCCCTAGCACTGTAAAAATAAGCAAGTGTGAACAGCAAATCCACCAAACATCATTTGAGATTTACTTTGAAGAGATGGTTACTGTTTATGCAAAGATGTAGTTTTTATTCTCCTGCAAAAGTCCTTCAAAGAACACTTCAAGCTACTATGTAAAATTGTATCAAATTAGAGCTCAAGATCAATATTGAAAGGAAAATATTACCAAATAAGGTGTATCTTGTTTTTTTATTGCCTGCCCTTAAATATTTCCACCATTACCAAAGGAAAATATTTTCAAAAATAGCCCAGCTGTTTTCACACACAGTTCAGCAGCAATGACCTTTTGTATGTGACACAAACAAGATATCATAGGCATGATAGTCACCTTTTATTTAGGGACCCTATGTATAACAGCAGAAAGTAAGTGAGACACGGTCATGTTATATTGCTCTAAAATTTTGCTTTAAAAAAGTTATTTTTTTCCTTTTATCAAAATTGGATTTTCCCCCCCTCACATATACTCTGATTACAGTTTCCCTTCCCTCTACTCCTCCCAGATCCTCCCCACCTCCCCCCCCCCATCCAGATCCATCCCCTTTCTGTCTCTCATTAGAAAACATATAAGTTTCTAGGGGATGACAATAAAATGTAACAAAATAAAATACAAGATAAAACAAAAACTGTCACATCGGAGTGGACAAGACAAACAGAAAGAAGGATCCAAGAAAAGCCACAAGAATAAAATAACTACTTGCTTGCACACTCAACAATCACATAAAAACACTGAACTGGGCCTGGCAGTAGTGGAACATGCCTTTAATTCCAGCATTTGGGAGGTAGGGGCAGGTGGATCTCTATGAGTTCAAGGCCAGCCTGCTCTACAGAATGACTTCTAGGACAGTCACTTTCAGTGACTTCTGGAGCTGCAACATAGAGAAACCCTGTCTCGAAACACCAAAACAGTACGGGTCCCATGGTGTAATGGTTAGCACTCTGGACTCTGAAAAACCAAACCAAACCAAAACCCCCCCACTAAACTGGAAGCCGTAATATATACTCCGAGGACCTGGTGTAGATCTTTGCAGGCCTTGTGCGAGCTGCTTTAGTCTCTGAGTTCATATGAGCTCTGCTCATGAGACACCATTTTAGTATTGTGTGTATGGCACTGCTCACAGTTGTAATGTTGCAGAGTATACGTGCAGATACCCCAGTGGTATAGGTGACTACACCTTAGCTACATCGGACATACATACAAATATGGCATTGCTTATTGTCCTCGGGGCCACAATAAGTAAAACTACGTGAGTCTACACCAGGCATGAGAGGAAATGACGCAACGAAGAAACACAAAACGTGCAAGTCCTGGGGTCACTGCTCACATGCTGTGGCATGTTGTTTTATAGTGATCTTTCTTTTTTGTAAGTAGGAAGAATGGAGGATGGGGAGACAGCTCAGTTGGTAAAATGCTTGCTATACCAGTATGGGGATCTGAGTTTGAGCCTTAGCACCCATGTTTAAAAAACAAAACAAAACCAGCAAGGTGCAGCAAGCAGTGCACACTGTCACCCTAGTTCTGGGAAGGCAGAGACAGGGGGATCCACTGAGCTCTCTGGCCAGTCAATCTGGCTGATTCCGTGAGCTCCAGGTTCAATATGAGATCATGCCTCAAAATTAAATGAATAAATAAATAAATAAGGAGATCTATCGAGGAAGACACCTGATGTTGACCTCAGGCCTGTGCGTGTATATGCACTCACATACATGTACACACTTACACATGCATACAGTAAGAATACAATATAGTAAAAACACAAACCTTTCATCCTTGTCAACTGCTCTATACCGTGTGTGGCTGTGTGCTTTACATAATTGGCAGGCAGTGGGTTTGTTTACACAGCATCTTTGCACACGTAGGAAAAGTGCATTGCATACCATCACAGACCTGTAAGACAACACTGCATGTGTGTCCAGTGCTGACCAAAAGCTTCACTATGTGGCACATGATGGTGTATGTAAGAATAAAACTGAGGCTGAAAAACCACTTTATTAGAAATAAGAGAATACCACCTACCCAAACGGTTGAGGGACATGCCGGATATATTTTGGGTGCACTCAGGGCTTAGTTATCTTAACTCTAAAGGGGTGTAATACTTGCAGCCAATGATTTACTAAGCAACGTGAGTGCCTAACTGGTTGCAGTTCAACCTTTTAGCCCAGTTTACACAGACCAAAACAAGTGAAGAGCCAAGAAGCCATCAACTTGGTTTTAACAGTAAGATCACCTCAGTGTTATTAGTAGTAGATTCATTGGCTTGTGATCTGTGGGGTCTACCAGCAGGTCCATTCTGTCTGATTTTAGTGGCCCAAGCTGCTGGGACTCTACCCATTGGTCCATCCTGTCTGTAGTCAGTGGCTTGTGATGCAGGGCTCTACTCATGGGTCATTTGCAGGTGGTGGGTCGGAACATCACTCCTCACATGGTTCCCTCTTGCAAATGTTCTCCATCTGTGATGTGGGCATATTTTTTAAATTTTGAGAAACTTTTCTTTAAAAATGATTCCATTGACCACATGCAAGTTCTTCTCCCCTTTTGTCCTGATTGGTGGTCACCCACAAACGACACCAGCAAGTGACCTTTCAGTCACTGCCAGTGTCCTCTGCATGTCCTTGCTGACTCAGTAAGGGCATCTGTGATCTTTCACAATCCATCACCTTCTTCCTCATTGGACTCTGTTTGAGTCCATGTTGGGAAATGTGCCCTGCAGGCCATGCGTTGTGTCTTTTTAGTTTTCAAGGGGGAATACCCATTGAAACACTGAGTGGCTGGGAACCAGCAGGCTTTCTGCCAAACTGTGATAACTGAGTGGCTTGCCAGCTTGTTTCTGAGTGTCGCTAGGCAAATATACTTACACAAATGCTATGTCTACCAGTTCCTCTAGGCCAATGGTTCTCAACCTCCGTCATGACCCCTGGCGGGGGTGGGGTGGGGGAATCAAATGACCCTATCGAAGGGATCACCTAAGACCATCAGAAAACACAGACATTTGCATTATGATTCATAAGAGTACAAAATTACAATTATGAAGCAGCAATCTTATGGTTGGGGTCACCACAACATGAGGAACCGTATTAAAGGGCGGCAGCATTAGGAAGGTTGAGAACCACTGCTCTAGGCTCATCCCTCCTTGAGGATTCAGTGGAGAGAAAGGACGGAACAAACAAATAAGAAGGCCCAACTTCTGGGGTCCCCGTTTCTTGGAGGAAAGTGGTTCCATTTCATGTGAACTAAAGAGGCTGAGCCCTGTTCCACCTGAATCCAGCACTCTTCACTTTGACAGGTCACCCAGTGTGAATGTTGGGAGAAGCTTTTGAGTCACTGGGGAAGTTGCTCTTTGCAGAAAAGACAGTGCTAGTTTCCAGTGTCTGTAACACTACTAACTGTCAGGACATCATGCTTGCTTGGCTTGACAACATATGTGTACAGCAGCCCATCAATGTGTCTATATATCCATTTTGACATTTCATATACTTTGACTCTTAATTTGTTTTATTTGTGTTCATACTCCAAACTAACTAAGCATCGGACTTAAGACACACGCTTATTAGTTAAGAAAGAAACCAATCAATCAATTAATCAAGACTGTTTACCAAAGGTCTTGGCACGGCACGGTTACAACACAGCACCAATGAAAAGTCAGGTGAGATGTCTTTAAGAGTCAAAGGAGGAGTGAAACTCATATGCTAGTCTCCCAAGTTAAACCAGTAAACAGAAACAAGAGACCCAGCGTGGGCTGGTTCTCAGTTTGCTTCTCCAGCGCTATGAGAAATGGCCAGCAACTGATGTCCCAGGAGTTTGGGGTTTGCAGTGATGCTTAAGACACAATCCTTGAACTTAAAGAACTTGCCAATGAAAGCAAACACATGAAGATGTTGCTGGACAAAAGGAACTCTTCTGTACGACAGAAGTCAGACATGGGTTGCCATGGAAGACCAAAGGTAACTGCTTTGTTAGTTACACAGTGGGTGAGAGAGAGGTCTGGAACTGCCATGTGGCCACGTCTGAGAGACATCCCAAGGGTTGTGAGACAGACAGAAACCATTCAGTGAAAAGTCAACAGTTAAAGGTCGGGTGTTTTCAAACAGACACCAGGGAATGAAATGGGGGCACTGTCTGAGGAGCAGCCTGCTCTTCCATGATACTTGGTGCACAATGGGGTCAAGAGGAACACGAAATGTCCAGCAATCAGCGGGATGAACTTCCTGACGGAGTCAGGCACGGACACTGATAAGGAAGCTATTACCCGCTATTACGCTGGTCAGCTCTTTCATGCATTCATCACTATGGTTTGAATGTCTCCACCAACACTCATGTTGAAATTTAATTCCCATTGTGAGGTAAAGGGATGAGTCCAGGCGGTTCTGTAAGAGGCGACTAATGCTTCCTGGGCTAATGAGTTAAGGGGCTAATAGGTTATCTCAGGAGTGGCTTTGTTATAACGTGAGCCTCCCTGTTTCTCCTCTGTCTTACCATGTGACACCTTGCACTGTCCTGGGACTCAGAAGAGTCCCCACCAGCAAGAATGTGCTCAGCAGCCTGGGTCCCCTGACCTTGAACTTCCCAGCTTTCCTAATTATATAAAACACATTTCTTTACTTTAAATTCTCCAGTTTGTGGCATTTTCTTACATCAACAGAAAGGAGACCAGGACACTCATCTTCAGGTGAGCATTTTTGGTGCATTTGAGGTGTCAGGCACCTGCACACTTGCGG